CACTTGTTGCTGAAGGAACCATCTTAGAAACTGGCTGGCTCTTCCAGTGCAATGCTGTAGCACATTTGTCACTTGTGGGTTGTTGTTTTTTTTTTTAAACATGTTGTTTTCCAGTCATTTCAATGTTTCGCCTTTCTTCAATACATGATTTTGCTTCTATGTTAGCAGGAAGTGTTTGTGGTTATGTTTGTCTGCGTCTTACTTTTCCAATCAGTGAGAAATATATTTGAATTTTTTTTAGCCGTACATGGAAGGTTTTTATTGGTCTTTCTCAGTAATTGTACCTGAGTAATTTTCAAAAATATTTCCAAGGTGTCACCGTGCAAAAGTTTTCAAGTTTGTATTAAACCATTAACAAACATTTGTAGAGTCAAATTAAGAATAGAACATCTTTAAAAGGGGCTTTTTCAATGAAAGTAAACAGACGTGTTGTTTGTACCTGCAGAGCAAATATGCAGTTAGTGCTTGGATGAATGTGCCTTTTGTCTTTGCATGTTTGTGTGGGTTTTTTTGTCTCTCTTTTTTTGCAGGAGGAAAATTAGTATAGTATATTATGAGATATTTTTCTGTACAACCCAGAGTCCTCAGTCATACAGCTGGATGCTGCCATTTTATCATCAAGTCAAAAATTATTAAATCATATTTTAATAGTTTAATGTGTGTGTGTGATTGCACATGATTACTGAATTAACTGTAATTTTTTTCTTTTAGACATTATACATTTTCGTGTACAGTTACAGACTGTATATAAAAGATGCGCATTTGGGTTTGAAAATTGAAGCCAATTCATTTGGGCTTTAAAGCTGTTTTCTTTATATTGGCCAACAGGGCGCCATGTATCTGATTGCTAAGATGAAGTCAAATTATTTGGGTTTATAAGGAAGGGACCCCACTGGTCCCTCTGTGTTTGACTTCAGTAAACACTTTCCTGATCGGTTTGTACTTAGCTTTCGCTCATATTTACCAAAACATTCACTTTGTAAATTATGGTACCATTTAGATATATAAGCATGATGAAACATGGTATAATCCGTGGCACCTTGTGACTAAAAAGTCATAAGTACCATATGGGCAAGCAATGTCCTTCAGTTCTTATTCACTGCTTGCTCATCACATTTAGTTTCAAAAACTAAACAAGGCAACTGGAAAAAACCTCCTTGCTCAATGCTTTTCATAAAACCAGACAGTGACTCGCATCAGAAATTATTCAATTTTAACTTTTACTATAGAACTAATACTGTTATTTCTTCTTAATTCAGAATATTAATTTTAAAATGTGATATGTGTCTTTAGTAGTTAGTAGTCATCCTGTACTATAGTATATCGTCTTTCACTTCTGATGTTTAAAAAAAAAATCGGGTCAGATGAACAAATAATAAACAAATAATAAATGAATTAAGACACACATCATGTCTTAATTTATTTAAACTAAGCAAAGCCAAAATTCAGAGGTACTTTGTGAAAAAATCAATACTGAGTTAACAGAGTAAGTAGATAACAGGTGCTGCAACTCAAATACACTTTCAAACTGATCAAATTAACTCATCAGCTGGTGTGTGCTAACTCAGTGACAAGAATTAAGGACATTTTAGGAAGCAATGATTTTAGGAAAACAGCTGTTGCTTTCCATCAATCTTGAAAGATTTATGAGGCCATTTTCAAACAATTTGAAATTCACCTTTCCAAGGAGAAAACATTAAAGACAGTTGCCAGTCTTCCTCACAGTGGACACCCTGGCAAATTCACCCAAGCCCAGACCGTGCAGTGCTCAGAGAAACTGCAAAAAACTACATGCCTCAGTTAGCATGTTAAATGTTAAAGTCCATTAAAGCAGAATCAGTGAAAGACTGAAGAAGTGTTGCCTGTTTAGACGGGATGCCAAGAGAACCTTTCTCTAAAAAGAACATGGCAGCACAGTTCAGAACAGCATGGCAACGTTGCAAACTCAGCATATCAGCAGAAACAGTTCATACCAGCTATGAAGCACGGCAGTGAGGTGATTGATTGGGTTTATATTGTAGCCACAGGCACCTGTAGCCACTGAGTCCTCAATGAACTCCTCTGTGTACCAAAGTATTCTGGAATCAAACGTGTGGCTATATTTCCAACATCTAAGGCTTGGATGAAACTGGACCAGGCAACAAAGCAAATATCCTGAGGAGAAAAGAAAGAAAAGATTCACGGAGTTGTAATAAGCCCAGTCAAAGTCCCAACCTCAACTCAAATGAAATGATGAGGCGAGGCTTTTAGAGCGCGTAAACAAATGCCCACAAACCTCAACGAACTGAAGCAAGACTAAAGAAGAGTGGGCCAAAATTTCTCCAAAACAATGTGAGAGGCTAAGAAAGTCATACTGAAAACACCTACTTCAGGTTATTGCTTCCAAAGGTGATTCTTGAAGCTACTGAATCAGGGGGCGTACTTAGTTTTTCCCACACCGTATCTGCATTCTAGCTCAGCTTGTGTTGAATAAAGACACGGTGTAGTATGTTATCCGCTGTTGTTCATTTGTGGTTGTATTTTCTTAAGAACTTGGCAATGACCGGATGACTTTTTATGTCCTGAAAACATTAGAACTGGAAGAGGGCATACTTTTTTCACATGACTGCATACAAAGAAACACATTTACAGAAACAAAAAAGTGTCATATGGTTTCCCCAAAAGTGAAAGCATTTTTTTCCCCCAGTTTAAAACTGAAAGCACAATTCGATCTCTTCTCACGTACTTGAATTTAACTATATTTCTCTGGTGACTGATGACGGTAACTTCAAGCTGTGAAGTGTAGCTGTGGGCACATTCTCACACTTTAAATTCAGTTAAGTCATCTCAGTACATGAAACCAGGAAACTCTTAAACATAATCACAGTCTAAATCTGCTTCTGCAGCTTCTCACAGACTTAAAAGGAAAAGGGCTTTGAAAGCAGTGTTCAGAAATTTTCTTTCACATAGGACAACTCATAGCGGTACGTTTACTAATAACAGCACTACTACTGAAATCACAGTATTGGAGGCATCTTGCTTTATTAATAGTGACTGCTGAGAGACTGTAAACAAACTAGTTGTTGACCTAAAAAAAAGAAAAACCATGCAGGGAAGTCACATGGACAAGGCCTGGTCTTTATATTCAGCATTAAAGTATTATATTTAATTTTGATCAAATGTTACATCTTATATTATATAAATCTACATTCACATTATATTCATATCTCTTACGATTCATGCAAATCAATTTGTAAATAATGATGGAAATTCCAAGTTTGAGGAAACAAACCGCAAGAGAATGAAAAAAACTTGTGGTATTAGGCAAGATTTTTTATCAATAACAGTTTCCTCAGCTTGATTCATTTTCAGCAGCCTGTGTCTACATCTGATATGTGTTCTACCTTGTAGCGTATCCTTTGCTAAGACTGCAGAACTTAAGATGGTAAAGTTGGTCTGCTGGTCACTAGGTTGGCTTACCACTTTGGTTCAACTTAAAATTTCTCAACAGCTGTTGGATTTCTCCAGTGTGTCCTACTAGCTCACTGCTACTATTTTAGTGAAATATATCAAACAACGAGGATGGATTTCTTTAAAAAGCCACAGATGTTCAGATTTTACTAAGGATAAATAACAATAACACTTCATCTTGACGTCAAGAAATTTGTGACTTCTCTCACGATCCGACTAGGAAATCTTTCACTTGTTGAGCAAATGTGCAAGTACTACAATATTTACCATATTAGGTTTTAATTTTTAGGCGATAAATATTATGTCCCCTAGCCACACAAGGGCTGGTCTGGAGTAGGGATAAATGGAGAGGGTTGCATTAGAAAGGACGCCCGTCATAAAATCCTTGCCAAATCAAACATGCAGATCAAGACTAAAACAATAAATACCAAGAAGGCCACACATTTTAGTTAGGTTCTGGCAACAAAACCATTTATTTTGATTTAGGGAAAGGTCACACTTTGGGTTCTGGTCACAGGCAGGATAAAAGGTGGATGTAGCTGACATGATGCCACCCATTGGTTTCTTAAGTCCCATTTTGAGCAACATTGCCATCTTGGTTGCAACCCCCCCTCCCCCCAGATGTGATGAGGAAAGGGTGGGTCTGACTGAAACCGTCTCTCCCTGGGTCATGACTTGTTATTCGCAAGTGGTTAGCTAATGACTTTGCAGTTTCATATCACTGACAATCCTCCATTTTAAAACTAGGAATGACCAAGATTTTCAAATGAAACTTCATCTTCTATTCAGTATGACCCAAAATGAGTGACTGAGATCATAATAGTCATGTGCCCATGTTTTTATACTGTCTAAATTTTTTATATAACCTTTAACCAAGCCTTCAGGAGCATATCTGAACCAATAACAGGTACCTCTTGTTATCTCTCACAGCGTAAACCAACCCAAACCTAAAACTGAAAGTATTACAAGACAAAATAAACTTTTCTAATTTAAAGCACCAAAGCCACACTTCTTAAAGTAGCTACTGGCATAGATTAGCTGATAATGCAAATTAGCTAGTAGTCTGTGTTGCGTAATTCTAACCTTAAAGGCACATTTACCTTAAATTGCAATGTGGTGCAGTGGATTTGTAATATCATAGGCCAGTCATGTAGCCTTACAGGCCTACAACTACTCAAATCAAACATCAACATGAAACGGCTAAGTCACAGCACGTAGATTTTATCTTTTGTCCAACCCAGTCAAAGTAAAAAAAAAAAAGAAAGTCCATTATGATAGAGAGGGGTAAGCAGCCTATCAGGATAAAGCCCACAGTCATTTTAGGAAAATATCTTGCCACTTAAACATAAACATAATCATCGTGAGTGCTGCTGCTAGTTTCTTCAGATGTTTACACAAAAATAGAGTTCCAGCAGACGTGCAGGGCAGGTTCATGTTACTTTGATTTTAAACAGCTATAATGCATATTTGAACACATGCATGATGTGTGGCACAGTCAGGAAGTGGTGATGAAACAACAAAGGTTTGAAAAGGAGAAGTGCGTCTGGCACCGCGCAGACAGTCAGACACACTGAAACTTGACTGGCATGAGGTAAGAACACAACTAGATTTCACATTTTCCACTACATGTTAGCTGGTCGCAAAAGAACGCCAGGTTAGATGTTAAAAGTGCTGCAGTTACATGTAGATGATGAGTCAAACGTGAGGAACTTAAATTACAAGACATATTTCATTTATTTATCTATTTTTAAATTTTATTTACTTATTTACTTCTAATTAATGCTTACATTAAAAGTCAGGTTTCATTGTATATATAATGTGCTTTTTTTATCTTCATGCAAATTATTTTGATCTGAGTGCAAAGGGCCTTCAGCTTGCTCGCTGTAAGGAGGGACTCTGCAGCCAGCGACACGTAGTACACGCAGTCAAAACCTGCCTGTTTTTTTACATTAGGTTTATTTCAGTCGAGTGTCAACTCGATGCACAGACACTCATGTCAGAGATGTATTTGGGATTTTCCTGTAAAACCATGGCTTCACTCAAAATAGAACAGGTGTCAGGTTTGTCCATCACAACCTGACACCAACGCAATGAAGAGTAGAACATGTGACGAACCACCTGTTCATTTGTTTTCAACTGATATTAAATCAGTAAACACTCCGAGGTAAATGGGAATATTGTTAGCGTCCAAACAAATAACCTCAAATAGAGAACCACTTAACTGTGCTGTCGCAGATTGCAAAACTAATACAATAACAGAAAGTCATTTCCTTTGAAATCTTGATCATAATATATTCACAATTTGTTTCTAAATGTCGAAGTAAAATGAAAGTTACTCCGGCCTGTACTTTACTAAGACTACCATTGCTACTACTTTCATGAGAATCAGGAGGCTAAAGGTTAATAATGTTCACGGTGCTCTTGTTTGCTATGTTGTTTATACCAGAAACAAAAAAACAAGTTCACAGTTCCTGTACCCACACAGCTGAGAGGTTTCTAGTGGCTTGGTATAGTGGCGTATCATACTGCCGTTTCTGTGTGGGAACGAGTAACAAAAACAGGAAAGACAACTTAAACTGTTCTTTGAAATCCTGGCAGAGATGTTGAGATAAAATTGAATCCAACTGTTATATTGCAGTGACATCATGACCAACAACATGTCAGTGAACTGCAGTAAAGAGTTCGACCACGTGGATGAAGTGATGAAAGTTTTGGAGCTGGTCTTCTATATTCCTATATTTGTCGTCGGTCTGATTCTCAATATTGCAGCGCTGGCGGTGTTCTGCGGCCTTCTGCGAAAAAAGACTGAATCTGCTATTTCTGCTATCTACATGATAAACTTGGCTTTGATGGACTTGGTTCTCCTGTTGATTCTTCCCTTCAAAATGCATGCCACTAATCACAAGTGGCCCGCCAGCTTCCACGGACTGTGTTCAATTTTGGAAGGGCTTTATTTTTATGGGATATATGGAAGCATATACATCATTATGTGTATAGCTGTAGATAGATGGGTGGCTATCTGTCATCCGTTTAAATCCAAGCAGTTGCGTTCACCCAAAGCAGCTATGGCAACTTGTATAGCCGTGTGGATGCTTGTGTCTGCATCAGTCATTCCAGTCATCTGTAACTTCAGGAAAAGCAAGAGCAACACATTTCATTGTTTCCACGAGTTTTCACCGGAAGGCTGGAAACCTCCCATCATCATCAGTGTGCAGGTGTTTGGGTTCATTGTGCCTGCACTGGTGGTGGTTTTCTGTTCAGTTCAGATCATCTGGACACTTCAGCAGTCTGGTCAGCACAGCCCACAGAGCCGGGCCTGTGTGAAGATCATCTACAGCGGGCTGTGCGCGTTCCTGGTGCCTTTCACTCCGAGCCACCTAGCCATCTTCCTGCAATTTCTGGTGAGAAACTCAAGGCTCATTTTATGCTCATTTTAAGTGTAAAGAAACTGAAACAACAGTCCAAAGCATATCACCTTAGGGTCCATTTAGTAGCTGTCCTTTATCACATTTATTTCAGCAGGTAAACATTTAAAATTTTGATGTTTAAAGTCTCGAACTCCTTATAATCCACTGGGTAGCCTGAATCAGAAAAATATAATGTGTACTGAACCTATTTTATAAAGAAAAAAAAAGCTTATTAATATTTCAGTTAAAAACATTTAACTTTCTGCAGCTTTTTTACTTTGATTTGAGATTTATGTTGAGTAATCATCAGAAAAATTCAGGGGGGGGGGAGGATGCTGCAAATGTTATGACTCAGCAGCGCTTTTTATGTCAGTAGCACATATGATATGACAAAACAAGCCTAAATGGTTGTAACCACTGGGGTATTTGTTGAGGGGTACTTGTGTTTAATTTTGATACTTGCAATAAAATTCTTCTTCAAAAGTTGACGTTATTAGAAATTATTAGAAATTAATTATCAAACTGGAGAGTATGGCAAGTGCGTAAGCATGTGTAAGTACTGCAGATATGCACAGAGAGGATCTTCATAGGAAAATTCACAGATAGGACCTGCGCTTCACACTGCAATGCTACCTCTGCTACAAACCAAAAGTGTCACACATGATTCTTTGATGGTAAACTAATGTTTCCTTAACACACATACTTGCAGGTGCATCAAGGAGCATTTCAGGACTGTGGCACCAAGGCCAATCTCAGCCTGTTCATACAGATTGCTATGTGCCTGTCAAACATCACCTGCTGTCTGGACGCCATGTGCTACTACTTTATTGCCCATGAAGTGAGGAACACCAGACACAGCTTAAGGATGTCAATACTGAGCCAAAGGAGAGCCACCAACAGCACTTCTGAACGGGAGAGAGGCGAGTCAAGTTGAGACAAAAACTGTCCCTAGAGGATCACTGATGTGATGTTATGTTGTGTTAATATAGCAAAACGAGGCTAAAACCTTGTTTTGTATCAGAGCAGTAAAGCTGGAGACAAGTCAATAGTGGACCCAATAGCTGATAAGCATAGTGTCACGCACTAAAAGTAATTAACCTGCTCGTAAGGAAGCAGGTCAGAGTGTAATCTAAATTAACCACACAGCTGAATGCAAGGCTGTATGATCTGATCCAGCAGCAGGAAGCCAGTAGGCACCTCTCTAACCTCAAAGCGCTCTAATGCGTTAAATGAAGGCTGCAAAACAACCCATGAACTAAAAAGCCACAGTCTGACATGCTTTAAAAAATCATTAAAAGCATGAAAAGGTCACTCAAACCTGCAAACCAACAATGAGTGAGAAAGTGACAGGGACAGGCAGCATGACTCATTTTAAAGAACTAAAAACTGATACTGGCGGGCAGTTCAAAAATGCCTTTGTGATATTATCTAGGACTGAAATCAAACATGCACAAAGACGGCTCTTATTAGTCAGAATTCTCATCAAAGACAAAATAGATTAATTGTTTCAGACTAAACGAATTTAACAGATGCATAATTATTTTTTTTATATTCAAAAAAGGTAGCTAACCGTAATAATAAGCATATTTTAGTCGTGAATCTCTAATCTATGAAATGCAGATTTACATAAAAAGTAAACAAAACGAAATTATGCCAATATATCTAATTAATTACAATTCAAATATGCATATTTCCTTGATGAGTACACAGATGAATCAGGGTTTATAAATCACATCCACAGGTATGCATTAAACATATGAAACTAAAAACGAAACATTAGCAATAATTTCAGTGGTTCATTTCATTTTTTAAAACATTAAATAATACAATGGATCCTAAATGGTTGTAAAAAATTCTCACTGCAAAATAAGTAACAATATCATCTATATTTATTAAATAATAATTAAATGTAAATGTTTAATCAGAAATACAGCAACAGTCAAATATAGAAATAAACACGGCCTGAGGAAGAGTAGAGAGGATTTTTTTGTGCGTTGTTAATAGATTTTGCATTCATTTTCTGTCTTTTAAATCTCATAAATTATACTAAAAAAATATAATATAAAAAAAATATTAAAAGTGACATTATTATAAGAGAGGACTAAAGCATTTATGATTATTGCATTAAGTGATCTGTTTATAGTTTTGCAGATGAAAACTGACTTCGTATGCTTTTTTTGCTTTGTTTATAAACTGATATTGTTAGCTGTAGCATTTCATATTTAGCTGTACTGAACTTTGTATTTTATTTTTAGCTTGCAACCTTAGGTGCATAATAGTTTTATTGAAATGTTTAAAAACCGTAAGTATGTAGTCCCGGCCATGCGTAGGTCACTGCTGAAAGAACTGTTTTCATATTACTGTTTGGGTTTATGTGAATGCTGTCACATGAAAAGTCAAATGGAAAGCTGCTTATGAAGCACACAGAGCTGTCGCTGACCATATGTTGCCGATGTTGAAGGGTCATTTTGTGTTTTATGACAGCGTGCCTCACTTGTGGCTTAACCGTACCATAATGTTGTATTTAATGTATATATCTTTCATAAAAATGTGTGAAAAGCTCTCTTTGAAACCATCATATGCTGGTTTCATTGCATTACCTGCATATTGAAACTTTATTTTATTATAATTTAAGTTTCTGCATTTTGTACTCAATTGTATTTTTACTTGTAAAATACTTTTGTGATCCCTGCATCTTGAGCCAACCCACGGAGTTTGTCGGTCTGGGCTGTTTTCCTTTTCTTCATAAGTTTAAAGTCAAAATAAAAACAATGTGAAGACAAAAACAAAAAGGATTTATGAGTGAATATTATGAATATTTATCCTAAATATTTAATTAATGAAATGCAGCCAGAAACTAAACTTTTACCTAAATATTGCATTTTTGTAACTATAGTAACTGCTGAATATTTAAAAATGTACACTATTAAATGAGACATTGTAAAGTAGGCTGATCAAATCACAAAAGTATTACTCATCAGTTTTGAAGGGAAATAACCTGAACAGATTATGATGTTTAATTGATAACAAAGCTGCAGATGAAAACTTTCAGATATTATCACTGTATTTTTGTTCCATTTCGGTGAGAATGCCACAAAGGCAGTGTAATGCTGTGTTGTTTCTCCTACTTTTATCAGTACTGTTCAGCCAATCTCCAATTGATCTAACCCACAGCCTACACAGTGATTATGAGCCACCGAAACTGTTGGTGAAGAACATTCAAAACATGACCAAGAAAGTTTGATAATTTATTCTCAAAGCAGCAAGATTTTACAAGAAAAATTGACTGTACAGCGAAATACAGTACCCAAGACAGTGAAATATGACAACAGATCACAGATCTCTCTCTCTCAACAGAATCAGATTTACTCCAACTTATACATCAGAAAGACAGCCCAAAATCTTTTCCTTTTTTAAGCTGGGACGAAACATCAGAGAACATTATAATGCCAAGATAGGAAAGATTGGGAAATGGCAAGAGCTGAAGACAACAGGCAAATCTGAGTGAAGAGGAGGAAGAGCAAGACAACGTGAGTTTTTAGCCTTTGATATCATCTACAGTAAGTGATCTAGACTATAAAGCGTTCTTTATAAATAATTCATATGTCCTTAAAACCAAGCTTGTAGCATCCCTGACTGCAGACTTTGGTTCCTTCTGTCCTTCTACAGCACTGCTACTAATTACAGTCTAAAGCCGTTTATATCCAAGGAGTAGGAAAGTGTGAGAAGAACAAAACTAAAAGGCAAACAAGAAAGAAATGATCATCCACAAAACAAGTTGATCTCAGATAAAAATCTATGCATGTAACAATATGAAATTAAGAAGAAAATCAATGTACAGTATATATTGCTTAGTCAAAGTTATATACACCACTCATTATGATATCAACCAGCAAAGTAATATCTTAACTACATGAGGTATGTTTCGCCATCTTCCGACATTCAAAACAACAACAAAAAAAGTAACTAAAAATAACTTAATTGAAAAAATACGAGGACAAGTATAAAAATGAAATGAAATCAAGTCCATTGATGTAAATGTCACAAACTTACATGCACAGGTTAACACGTTCTGCACGACATGACAAGCTACAGATATATCGAAACAAATCTATAACATTATCCAGGAATCCGTTTAAATTAAAAAGACATTAACATAGTACACGGACGTTTCAAAAAAATAAAAGCATAAACAAAAACATTCCAACTGGATCTGAAACTAAAACTACGAGACAAACGCTTGCTCTTAAAGTGCAGTTTAACGCTTAAGGAATTCAAGAGGTATGGTTTAAATTGGCTTCAGTGTTGGATGGCTGTGATTTCCACCTCAGATTTAGAACCGGTCGCAGATCACAGTCTCGACCACAAAAGTGTTCTCAAAGTGGCGGATGCTGTGACAATTCTTGGTCTCACGCCTCTCAATACCTGGAAGAGGAAAACACGACGCATTTAGAAAATCTGTTCAGAATCGAAAGCGGACATCTGTTCACATGCTTTCTCAAGCTACTCTGCCTACAACGTCCATTTTGAATCAGCAGAAGCCATCCCCACAAATCACGTCCATATATGTACGCAGGGGGAAGTTTGTTGCATCATTTCTGAAGCTCTAAACCCAATCAAAGGCAGCGACGACACAGATATCACTCATCCGAATCACAAACACCTCCACAGAGTGTGTGGATGTGTCCACTGCACTACAAGTGACTCACATAGCAGGAAGTTCCCAGGCTGAGCCCACACAAACACACACACACACAATAATATTCAGGCTCACAAGCTGGTACAGCAGCATGTTACACTGCAGACGCACTGTCTCAAGTGTTCAAAGGAAGACCCTATATGGTCCCCGTTGATATTTGCTTTTCTGTCACTCTCTCTTTACTCCTACACACCAACTCTGGACACTGGATTCCCTGTGACTCAGTGGAGGAACATTTTCCTCCTCAGGTACAGAATTTACAGCAAACCAGCACACGTCACTTGACTCAACATCTGACAAGAGCTGGTGTGAAAAAGAGGGTGACGAAAAGCGGAAGCAATCCTGCACATGTCACTACATTATTTAACATTTCATATATACTCCGAACAGACTGGAAAAGGAAGTGAATATGTCAACTCACGTTGGCGCTGGCTGCGGCGTCTGAGGCGGTAAGTTTCTCTGCCGTAACAGAGCCTGTGAATGAAAGGGCCCAGCTGCCTCATGTTCCTCACCCTCCCCGTCACCATCATCTCCTCCTGGATGATGTACGTCTGAGGAAGGTACGTCCCTCTCTGTGGCAAAGAGACAAAAATGAATCACTCGACTGATCGGTCTGTGGGAGGAACGCTGCCAACAGGAAAGTGGGAACACACTGTCCTTCACTCTCAGACAGCCATTTATCTCTTACAACCACAAGTGGCATTAACAGCTAATCCACTGCGTGTCTCACCTTGACATTGACGAGCAGCTCCCACAGGTTGCGTGGTGGCATCACTAAGGTTGTGTTCAGCTCGGTGATGTAGCATTTGTCCAGTGCGATGTCGTGATAAGCTGTAAGGCCCTGGAACAGAGAAAGAGAGAAATCGTGTTATGCCTTAATCAAATGCTTACAAACAAGTGTAATGAGAGGAAAAAACACGCAAAGACAAACACCTACCCTCTGAAAGTCGTGGATGATATCGGCGGGATCGCTGCCACCAAAACGTGGCACGGGTACGCTGATCTGCTCGTAGTTGTCTTCAAGGTAGATGCCGACGTTTTCCTCGAGTTCTTGCCGCCCCCTCAGAGGAGCATACACAGAGTCCTCAAAGATAACCCGACAATGGAACAAACTGTCTTCTGGGATCTGCTAATAGGATGCAACAGAGCTGTGTCAGCATATGACGTTTACTTTCAGCTGTGTGATTTTTACCCACTGTGTTCAGGATGTTATTTAAGAAAAGAGGGGTAATTGCTGACTAACCTGAGGTATATAGTAGTGGCGATAGATAAAGACAGACGCCAACACCAGTCCTATCAAGAAAACTGCCAGGCCCAAGGCAAGGCAGCACAGGCCGGTTGGAAAAGGCTTCTTTGGCCTGACTGGGTGAACCGACTGCCCCTGTAAAAAGAAAAAGCAGACTGGTTAGAGTTCAGATCTTAGATCTTAACCTACATCCTGGTTCTTTTCATAGTAGTGTGTGAAAGTTTTTAAGAGTAGTTTAAATGATGCACTGCAACTCTGAATTTGCTTTGTGCAGTGTGAAATATTTGTATCTAATCCTATCACACTCACACTGCTTTACTTTCATACCCAAAAGCCAAATTTGTAACAGAGTTAATTTTGAAAAGAAGCAAGTGCCAAGTTGAGATCTGGTAGACGTACGATGGACATGAATAAAGCACGCCAGATGCCCACCCACAGTCTCTCAGTCAATCTGCTGCCTCTCCCTACTACTGTTGCTATGGTGAGCGGAAGCATGCTCTGACGAAGATGCTGGCACGTGGCCGTCTGGGTCTATTCTTAGAGGCCTACTTCCACGCTCCATATTTGCAGATATTAAGTCTTAACTCCCTTGGTGGGAGTTAAAAATGAGGACAGTTGCGTAGAGCAGGAGTCCCTCAGAGGCGGGCGTATTAATAGATCTACACACATTGGCTCTGACGCCTAGCCTGCCATAGCAGCCAATGGAAATCCACACAGCCTTTCACATCCTTCTGTTGACGTAACGAGCATTGGTAAAATATGTCTGCAGAAGTGATAGGTGCGTCATCTGTGCAGTGTGCTAGGGGGGGGAAAAAGACGAGAAGCTTTATGTGAACATCCATTATGTGCCAAATATCTAATTATGTTCAACTCTGGGGATGAAGTCCAGAAAGGAGGCTAAGAAAAGCTGGTGACAGATCTGACTTCCCACTCAGCTAACGCAGGTACAAGCCGTTCTGCAAACCCCACTTTACACAAGCAAGGAAAAAAAATCAGTGTTTGAGAAACTACATCTATGTAGTTAAATTACATGTTTGAGAACTGGAGACTGAAAGTGTTGCAGAACTGAAATTGAGACAGAACTAAACTCCTCAATTTTTTTGAAATAAACTCTGAATTTTCCAAGTTTTATCTCCTCTAATATATTCATCGAAAGCAGGAGCTATAAAACAGCTAGGTCAAACCGAGACTGACTTTTTATACTGCTAGTTTCGGGAGGGTTAAGCTGCCTTTACACACACACTTTGCTGCTTGATTACTACCGCTCATTCTCATCTGCTCTCCGGCACTACCTGCAGGACACACGTGGTATAACACCTTGACATTACAGACTAGTGCAGTATCCACATCTGACAGCTCTATTGTTTCCTCACAGCGACAAAAGAATAAACAAGCCCAAGGCTATCTGTACGCTGACAGCGAGAAGCCTGAGATTTTTATCTTATACATGCACACTTTATGAACAACTTGGTAAAATGATGTCCTCTTTCTGCCAATTGCCCACATGTATACAGGACTGCCTCTTCTGCAGTGTGCCTCCTAGCTGTGGCTAAACAAGGTGATGTAATACCAACATCCCATAGGTGGGATTGCATTGCAATGCTGGGGCTGTTCCCTTGTTGTAATATTAATGCACAATAAAACTTTTTTAGGCTCAGAAACACTACCACTGCCTTTATTAACCTTTAAGCTTGTAGATAAGGGTGTAATTATATTTTTTAAGAAAACAAATGCAATATCTAACTTTAAGCAGTCACTGGCTTTTCTTTATAATCATGTTAATCACATAAAATTCAATCCCATTAAATGCCATGATGCATGGACAAGGAAAGCGAAACTAATTATATAAAACTTTAATTTTTTGTAAGCTATAGCCTATGCAGAAGTAAAAATCTACTTATGCTATAACGAGACAAAAGACAAATGCCGCAGCATGAAACAAAGACAAAGTGTGCAAACTCACGTGAGCCTGAGGTATAATGATCTTGTCCTCATCGTTGTCTTTTTCGGGCTTCTGCGCCGACACTGGCTGGAAAGTGATCTTCACCATGTTTGTTTGCTCAGTGTGTGCTTGCTTTGTCTCCTGTCTGATTCAGTGCGCTGGTTTCGTCCACCGGACCGGGAAGATTATATAGCGCCGGACCAGGCTCGCCCCCGGGCCTCGGTGACCTCACAAGAGCGTCTTCTCTGACGAACAAGCAGTGTGTGGGTCTCAGGGAAAAGCCGCCTCGCCGCTGTCAAAATAAGAGCCGCTATCGGTCTTCGACTTTTAGGAAAACGCTAAAAATAACAGACTGTGAGCTTAGTTGCTTCCTGGTGAATATAATTAAACATTTAAAGCGGCTTTAGTGGAAAAAATGCTAAATTTACCTCGATTTTGAGGATATTTGGCTACCAAGTGCCCTTGTTTTGAAGACAAGCGCCCAATATGGAAGTGCTTTCCGTATTTTATTTAAAGCTGAATCTTCTATTCTCAATGTTCTCAACACTACCATCCGGAAATATTGTGATGTTTCAAACTGGCTGATCCAGCTACTACACTGCAATAAAGTTATCAATAGGTCAGCACTACTTAGTAGTAAGAGAGATAATGCTGCTCAGATGTCCATAGGCTCATCAATGCATATATAATATTTTACAAGGTGTATTACTTGGTTAATATGCCATATAATCTAATTTATATGAATGTGGTCACAAAATGTACTTTGTAAGACAGATTAAGAATCTATAATACGATTCTAATATACAGTAACAGTTACTAATATATAGTAACATTAAATTATTCATTTCTTTCTAGTGAACATCACAAGAAATATGCTAATCAGTAATATATGCACATTTTTTACAGCCATGGTGTACACACAGCTCTCATCTCCTTGCCTCAGTAATCATTACAGCATCTATGAGTCACTACAGACATAAGACTTGCAGCAATGAATTAGACAATATAGGAAATTTGAGCTGATAGTTAGTGATAGAAGCGTGTCCTTAAAGGGTTACAACCCACACCACAGCAAAGTGAAGTCCTAATGCAATAGGGATGATCTACTCTCCACAGTGTCATCACTGTTTTCTGGTCTTGATAACTTTTAAAGAGGTTCCAGGCGCTTTACACATAAGAGTGGTCCATATTCTCCGGGACCCATCTAGTACTATAGATGGGGTGATGCCTCACAAGCTCCAAAAGACATGAATGTGTGGACTGGCAAACATACGGTCTATAGCCCTAGGAGCTGTGGCTCAAGTGGCAGAGTGAACCCCAAATTGATGCTGATCTGAATGTGTGTAAAATTTTAGAAAAAGCACATACAGAAAAGCATAGTATGGATGTGTATACGTGAGACTGAGTGAATGAGACTTGTAGTAGAAAGCACTATGAGTGCTCAATTTGAGTAAAAAGGTGGCTTTGAGGCGATTGTTATGATTTAGCACTATATAAATAAGTGTTTACTTCTTCCCACTCCCTTTCAACATGTAAATTAATCAGAACGGTAGCAATATTGAAATGTATTGATTTTTTTGTATAGTATTTTTTTTCTCTCTTATTTTCTTTTCTATATGTACCTGTATATTGTTTACATGTTTGAAATAAATTACCAATCAATCAATCAATCAATCAATCAATCAATCAATCAATAAAACTGAATTTAATATAAGTAACATGTTTACCAAAATTGATTGAATGTGGTCAAAAGCTATTGAAACTATTTTCTTTCACCCACTACAAACTAAAACCTTCAGAGTTGTTGACATTACCTTTGCAGCCTCTTTGTCCATATTTTGCACTCTTATGTCTGCATGCTGCTCCATGGTTAAGACATCGTGTGTGACACAATTTAAAGTGACCACATGTGTTGGGGGGTCGTTGCTCGTTCAACAATTCACATGCAAATGAACCCACTGCACACAGTGCATTCCCCACCCCACCCAGTTTCCTCCACTCTGTGCTCACTGCTGCTGGGATCGCCCCGGCCATCTGTCCCACTGACGGCCTCTAACGGCTCTTTGGATTACACACCAACTAACCAACCTCCAGTCTGGTCGGCTCCTGGCAGCGCCTGCAAAAACATGGCCCCCATCAGCAGCAGCACACACGGCCTGGACAGAGTGGATGATTGCGGTGGGGTCAGACCTGACAGAAAGGTAAGATCCCATGTGAGGATTCAGAGCTACTTTGAACTGGGGGAAAAACAACTCAGTTTTCCTTACTGTTGTAGATAAGAAAACCTCTGGTTGAGAAGAAAAGAAGGGCTCGCATCAATGAAAGTTTACAAGAACTCAGAGTCCTTATCGCCGACGAAGACGTAAGTTGCTGTTGTTTATGTAGCGCCATTGCTCAACAGCAATTAAACTGATGAGTGTGTTGTGGCTAAGCTAGCTTGTGTTCCTGATGTTTGTTGCTGCAGTTACAGTCAAAGATGGAGAATGCCGAAGTGCTGGAGATGACAGTGAAACGAGTGGAAGGCACTCTTCAAAGGCGTGCTCAAGGTAAACCGTACATATAAACCTTATTTAACTTTATTTACTTGAGTGTACAGTATTAACCATAAGCTTAATTTAAAAAAAAGAGACATATAAACAGTAATACAATTTACAAATCATTCTTCCGCCAAGTAATATAGTTCTTTATAACTAGTAAAACTACTGATTAATTCATTGCTCTTGGCGGATTAATATTTTAATCAACTGTACTGTGGCCGCCACAGGTGCGCTTCGACCGTGGCGCAGCCAATCAGAGCACAGAGTGTCTGTTAGTAATTACACGTTAGAAACTAAGGTTTAACGGTCGTTTCCATCTGTCTGTCCACAGAAGCAGACGCTGTACACCGGGAGGCCTGTGAGCGTTTCGCTGCCGGATACATCCAGTGTATGCACGACGTTCACACATTTGTGTCCTACTACCCGGGGATTGACCCAACAGTGGCAGCGGAGCTGTTGAAGCACCTTCTGGAGAGTATGCCACTTAACAACAACGAGTACCACCGAGTGATGCTCCCGGACATCGTAGCGGACAGCCCTTGCTATAGCAGCACTTGGTCCCTGTCTGAGAGCATTCACACAGCCCTGGTGTCCCCGGCACCCTCCACCACCTCCAGCGACGACCTCTGCTCTGACCTGGATGAGACCGACTCAGAGCAAAGCCAGGTTTCTTCTTCTGAGGAGGCAGACGGTCAAGAAGCGTTGCCCTGCCTAACTTGCTCTAAAGCTCTGTGGAGACCATGGTAGACAATTTAAGGTGGAATAGGAGTTTGGGTTTTTTTGTCGAAACAATAGCTTGGGTTAGAAATAGGCCAACACTGCCTGAATGGGCATCAGATAAACTCTTCGTAAAGATATTCTAATATATCTTTACAGAGCTTAGTGACCTTGTTTGGGCCTGCTGACTTATGTAAATATGTACTTGTTCAATATAACTGCTGTATAGAAAGTAGACCCCCACCAGAAATGCACTAATATGAGTGTGTGTAAATTATTTCCTAATTAGGATCTGTTGAAAATTCTATTTATACATGTCAGTTGACTGCTAGTAGGCTACCTCATCTAAGTTAAGCTAAAACTTTTAAATAAATATTTTAGGGGAAAAAAAAAGACTTGTACTCCATTTGTGCAGCAGACTCTTCAGGAGAAAAAAAAACCTCATTTCACACACAAGAATCCCACTAACCACCCACCCACGGCTGTTTCCAAGATATTTGTTATTACTCTGCAATTGTGGACCATTTGTGTGCACAGGCTCTCCAAGATCCCTTAGCACGTCGTAGGCATTTGTGAGGTGTGAAATGAGTAATCCACTCACTCCCTCCTTATATAGTCCTGGTTGAGAACTTGACAAATGGAATTTATAACTCTGCTCGACTCGTTTTTTAAATAACGTGGGCACATAACCTGCACAGTCATGACTCTGGAATAAGTTTGGCTTTGTATTGCGCTGTGATATCCACAAACAGTCATCTTTTTCTTTCTTTCTTTCTTTTTGCAAGTTTGGAGTGGTGCACAAGCCTGTGGAAGTGAACATAATTTTAGGCCTGTGAAATCTAAGCATGTCATCTCGTAGCAGTGGGTTAGGCTGCCATTGCTGCTGACTTTCACAGCTCGCTTGATGTCAGACATCACTTCTGTGGTCTCAGTGAGAGCCACAGACAGTGTTCTGCATCTGCACCACCTAGCTCCTACTGCTAGGCATGAATAAGAAAAGCCAGCAATCCTAAAACAAGTCTATTCATATGCCACGTGGAGTGTGAGTCACGTCTTTACACCCCACCCCCGACTTAATAGGGGACACTGGTGAAATGAGAAGAAAAGGACTAATACACTGTGCATTGAATAGTGGAGCATTCTCCTATTTAGCAGATAGAGTAGTAATTATACATCGAGGTAATACAATCAGGTAAGATTTCGATCTGCTTTTGTTGTTCTTTGTAATCCCCCTTGCTAGAAACAAGATCGACACACTGTTATAATAAATATCAAACGGTGTTACCATACGATAAAGTTAGAAGGCCTATATTTTAAACTTTAAGCATTGGTATTTTTATAGTTGTTTATTTATGTAAAAAGGTGATATTTCGTTTTAAACCCAGCTGTGACCACTTAAATTAATAACAAGCTTTCTCGAGTGCAAGAAAGCACAAGTAAATTATCATAATTCAAATTATAAACTACTAAATGACGACCCATACATCCTTGTTTTGGTCCTATTATTTGCTAAACTTGATGTAGTCCGCTGTGTTGTGACCAGACCGTATTAAAATATCACCGTATTAAAATATCACCGAAGGTATAGCTGTCCGGGGGGGGGATGTTCTTTCTTTTTCTTTTTTTTAAGCATGTTCGCACCTCACGCTCAGTTTGAAGTAAGTATGAAGGTGTGAACAAGGGTCGCTTTGATCAGGAGGATCTGCGCAGAAGTCTGTTGTTTCGGTGGTTGGACAGACAGACATTTGCATTGCGAAGGTAAAAGTGACGACAGAGAGAAGCATGAGTCTTTTTACTTTAACATTTAAATATGTATAAGACAGGCGGCAGCAGGGGCGTTCCCAGGATTTTTAAATGGTGTGGCACAAGGGGGAACCCATAATAAGGCAAAGAGGGGAGGGCACAGGTAGTCAGATTATTTAATCAGAGTTAAAAATCAGTGTAGGAATATGCTGTACAAAACATGGGGCATGATTTCCATCCGACTTAAGTAGCTTAACAGTGAAGATATAGTATAACAAAAATATAGTTAACTAAATGTGTTCATTGTGTGGAATGACACTTTGCAGAATTATATTAAAGCCTTACTTATTTTGCAGATAAATCATATGAAGTACAAGACAAAACATTTGTATCCAAAATAAAACTGTACTTTATTCAAGTAAATATATCAGGTTACTTTGCTATCCATATATTCATCCAGGGATTTGGGGCACTAAGATTAACAGAATTGTAATTAAACTGCATTTAGGGCTCTGCAGACACTGTTGAGAAAAACTGTAACAAGCTAAGTTTAAGATGTCGGAACATTCTTTTTTTTTTTCTTTTTTTTTCCAGTCTGCAGAAATCATCCCGTCTCTTCCTTATTCGTCGTTGTTGGACTGGCAAAGAAGGTGCACGACACACTTTGCTTTAAGTTATGCAACATTTTATTTTGAGAAAAGTTAGCAAACATAGTGGAATCATTTCCTTTAAAAAATAAGAAAAACAAAAATAAAAATGTGTATGTCAGTGTCTGTTTGAAGACCACCCCCCCCCCCAAAAAACTTGAACAAAAATGTTCAAGTTCCCAAAGAGACTCAAACAACAGCGTAGGCTTCAAAGTGAAAAAACTCTTCAGCCACCTGACGTCCAAGCTGCTTTGTAACAGTGAAATTACCCTAAAGTCAGCCTGAAGTGTTTGTTCTGAACAGTAACGAGCTTCAGTCTGTTCAGGATGTTCCTCTCCTTGTTTATGATTGCAACATCAGACCACGTCGAGCGTCATGCAGCACACTTCAAAACTGGGGAAAACCACAATAATCTCTTTACAATAACCACCCACCCTAAACATGCAGCTTTTCAGTTTTACTTTTCAGTTTGTGATGAGCGGCTTTCCTAGTGTTGATTATGGAATTCACATTTTCAAAATAGAGCTTATAATAAATAATATTAATTCTTTTGGTCCAGTTTGCTTTTTAAACTTTTTTTTTTAATACTATAACTTAAAAACACATTGACTCATTTATAGAGAAACAGTTATCAGTTATTTTATGTAAAAATATAGCCTATACATATGCCTAGAGTCAGAGAGTGTTGCAAACACCAACACAAGCTTTGAAATATATTAAAAAAAAAAAAAAATCTTTAAAGTGAGTGTCACAGCTGAAAAACAAAAATGCTGCATTTCATCAGAAACAGATGAAAGGAAATCTGCTGAATGAAAAAAAAAATAATCTAGAGCTGCTTTTAGTGACGTGTCACCAAATGACAGAAGTGTAAAAAGTTTGAAATGAGCTTTTTTTTTTTTAAAGTATGACATTATGTGAATCAGTGTAGCATATGTGCCTCACACCCCCACCCCCAACTCAGTGCAAACTTAAATCAACTCCATCACTTGATCAGCAATGCTTGTACTACATTGGACATCTTTCCCCTCTATGTTTAACAGCTGAGATCCCCCAATTGAATACAGGCATCAGCAGAATGAATATCAGACCCACAGGAGTCTCATTTACATTCTTCTTTATCCAACCCAGTGGGAAGAAATATACAATTTAAGATTCAAAAAGTTACCTTAGTATCAGATTTCTTTCAACTATAAATACTAAACTGCAAAGTGCACTTGTGCTCATTTGGTGTCTGATGTGTATGAATGACAGAAGTGTCGTTGCAACTCGGGGAAACGCCACGAAATACTGAATTCATCAAACACCACAGAGCCACCGAGAGCAGCCCCCAGCTGACTGATGTTTGTTTGACCTCTGTGGTGGTGCCTGGCATGCGAGCCCACTTTCTCTTTCCCTTTATTGGGCTCAGCATCTGGTAATCAAGTCTATATAAAAACCATTAAGAGCCGCACGTGGCAACATGCTACAAAAGGGATGACGCAACAAACAGGCGCAGTCTTAGAGACCAGCAATTCCTCAAGCAACAACACAGTGAACAATTAAAAAGTAGATTAAAATATAATGTAATGAATCTACTACACATGTTCACATTCTACAAAAATCTGGACTGTTTTATCCAGTTTTCTTGCTGGCACCTACACAAGAAGAACTCACAGAACAGCAAGAGAGAAACAGTAAGAGCACATTTAAAACTGGTCCCTCTTCAAAGGCTGTAAGCCAGTGGCTAACAAAGTCACTCTGGACACTTTGAGAAGCTTATTGTGCCGCCGTCTGTGTTTGACAGTCGGAGGCCAAAGGAGAGCCGTGGCAGGATATTCCGGCGGTCTCAGATTCATCGAGGTCTTGGTACGGCTGATCCTGTACCGCCGTCGCTGCCTCTAAGGCGTCATCACACCAGGAGCACATCTGGAAAAAACATGTTCAGGTGTAAATGAGGCATTATGTTTACATTAACAGTGGATATCTGAACTGGAAGGGGTATTCAATTCTACCTTGATATCTATGGCTTTGGGTAAACCTCCCTTCTTGATCCAGGGGTGAACCTCGATCAGCTCCTTCTTCTGCTCTTCAGAGAAGCGCGGTTGGCTCTTCTGCAGCTGCCTCAGTTTCTCTTTGTCTTCTCTCAGCACCTTTTCAATATCACTGCAGACACATTGAAACGCACAGACACGGTCACGATTCAGCTCACACGTGTGACAAATGCTCAGATAAACAACACTGGAAGCTTCGATTTGCATGCTTATGTTGCACTTTTGGATAATTTATTACTTTTATGTTCGAACAAAGTTTCGCTGTCAGGCTCCTCACACCCAACACAGCAGATCTCTTTTGTTGTGAGGATTCCATCTAGTGGTCAAAAGTCTTACTACAACCATCAGGGTTGGAGCTTCTGTGTCATGATTACAGATTGAAGTTTCTCTTTTCCTCCACATTTACAAACACTGAACACAAAAAGTTTCCGTGCTCCCTCTTACACAGAGATGATGCAACACAACAGGAAGATGAACATTTGCTACCACAGTTAAGGGAGTGTGTGGTGGATGCATAAAGAGTCTGAGTATATCAAGTGATGCTGCCTGAAAAGGGTTCATTGAAAGTATCGCATCTTCTTTCTCTGGAAGATGTGGTAGTCAGTCAGCATCCCAGTAGAAGCCTTGTAGACTAGCACTAATCTAATCCTATTAGAATAAGGATGCCAGAATTTATATTGAATATTTTCTGGGCAGTGGGCCTTTTCTGTAATTTAACACATTTATTTATTTGTACTGACAGATTTCTTGCATTTAAATGGTAAATGGCCTGTATTTGTATAGCGCTTTACTTAGTCCCTAAGGACCCCAAAGCGCTTTACACTACATTCAGTCATTCACACACACATTCACACACTGGTGATGGCAAGCTACAGTGGGGCAAAAAAGTATTTAGTCAGCCACCGATTGTGCAAGTTCCCCCACTTAAAATGATGACAGAGGTCAGTAATTTGCACCAGAGGTACACTTCAACTGTGAGAGACAGAATGTGAAAAAAAAATCCATGAATCCACATGGTAGGATTTGTAAAGAATTTATTCGTAAATTAGGGTGGAAAATAAGTATTTGGTCACCTCAAACAAGGAAAATCTCTGGCTCTCACAGACCTGTAACGTCTTCTGTAAGACGCTTTTCTGTCCCCCACTCGTTACCTGTATGAATGGCACCTGTTTGAACTCATCATCTGTGTATAAAAGACACCTGTCCACAGCCTCAAACAGTCAGACTCCAAACTCCGCCATGGCCAAGACCAAAGAGCTTTCGAAGGACACCAGGAAAAGTATTGTAGACCTGCACCAGACTGGGAAGAGTGAATCTATAATAGGCAAGCAGCTTGGTGTGAAAAAATCAACTGTGGGAGCAATCATCAGAAAATGGAAGACATACAAGACCACTGATAATCTCCCTCGATCTGGGGCTCCACGCAAGATCTCATCCCGTGGGGTCAAAATGATCATGAGAACGGTGAGCAAAGATCCCAGAACCACACGGGGGGACCTGGTGAATGACCTGCAGAGAGCTGGGACCAAAGTAACAAAGGTCACCATCAGTAACACACTACAACGGCAGGGAATCAAATCCCGCAGTGCCAGACGTGTTCCGCTGCTGAAGCCAGTGCATGTCCAGGCCCGTCTGAAGTTTGCCAGAGAGCACATGGATGATACAGCAGAGGATTGGGAGAATGTCATGTGGTCAGATGAAACCAAAGTAGAACTTTTTGGTATAAACTCAACTCGTCGTGTTTGGAGGAAGAAGAATACTGAGTTGCATCCCAAGAACACCATACCTACTGTGAAGCATGGGGGTGGAAACATCATGCTATGGGGCTGTTTTTCTGCCAAGGGGACAGGACGACTGATCCGTGTTAAGGACAGAATGAATGGGGCCATGTATCGTGAGATTTTGAGCCAAAACCTCCTTCCATCAGTGAGAACTTTGAAGATGAAACGAGGCTGGGTCTTCCAACATGACAATGATCCAAAACACACCGCCCGGGCAACAAAGGAGTGGCTCCGTAAGAAGCATTTGAAAGTCCTGGAGTGGCCTAGCCAGTCTCCAGACCTCAACCCCATAGAAAATCTGTGGCGGGAGTTGAAAGTCAGTGTTGCTCGGCGACAGCCCCAAAACATCACTGCTCTCGAGAAGATCTGCATGGAGGAATGGGCCAAAATACTACTGTGTGTGCAAACCTGGTAAAGACCTATAGTAAACGTTTGACCTCTGTTATTGCCAACAAAGGTTATGTTACAAAGAATTGAGTTGTATTTTTGTTATTGACCAAATACTTATTTTCCACCCTGATTTACGAATAAATTCTTTACAAATCCTACCATGTGGATTCATGGATTTTTTTTTCACATTCTGTCTCTCACAGTTGAAGTGTACCTCTGGTGCAAATTACTGACCTCTGTCATCATTTTAGGTGGGGGAACTTGCACAATCGGTGGCTGACTAAATACTTTTTTGCCCCACTGTACACTGTAGCCACAGCTGCCCTGGGGCACACTGAGGCGAGGCTGCCGGACACTGGCGCCACCGGGCCCTCTGACCACCACCAGACAGCATCATCATACGACAGCATCATTTCTTCATCGTGCAGGAAAAAAAGGAGTCTCACTGTTGACATTGCACTTCTTTTTATATTAAATGGGATTAAATGTGTAGTTAAACATCTATTCAGCCAGTGGTTCACCTGAGATCAAAGCTAGCTAGTGATGAATGTAAAGCAGTTTTACAGGGTGGGTTAAAACTGCACATACGCTTTCCAATGGTGGGGACTCGGTTAAACATGTTAAACAGTCTTTTAGCAAGCTGTTGCCTTCAGGCATCCCACACCAAGTTTCCTGCACACGCACACAGCCTTATCACTAGTGCATTACTGAGGAACCTTCCATTACAAACAGATGGTGAATAACTACCACACCACAGTGTCTACAGGGCCATTTATCCTACTCCTCACTGGCTGAGCCCCATTCTCCCACTCACTGCGAGGCCAGCTGATAGGTCATCATGACCTTCTCATCTGTGTTAGCCATGAGCAGCCACAGCGGGTCCTGCAGTACATACTTTGTGATATGGTCGCTCTGCTCCATTCTGCCGCGTCTTCCATCTCTGCCGCTCATATGACCTTTGACCTTCTGGCTGTGCAGCGATGAGTCCACACTGCCAAAGTATTTGCTACTGTTGGTGCTTTCTGAGAGGAGCCAAAGAGCAGAGTATTGTTAGAGGCCAAGTAAGTTGATGATCATATGACAAATTATGTAGTTTTAAAAGCTTTCCATTGGCCTACCTAATAACAGGACATTTATCATTGAGGGGACAATGCTTATTTTACACAGGCTAAATATTAATTTCGCAGAGTTTTGGAAACCTTTCACTTCCTACCTCTACCACGCTCACTCTGTACTGTGTGGTTCTCTTTAATGATGAGATTTCTCAGTTCAGTTCTTGACACTTGGCTATACAAAGTCATCACAGCATTTCCATCTCCTGCTCTTTAAACATCAGCGGTTCTTTTTCTCAAGTCTAAACTGATTTAATTTTTTTTTAGCAGGATGCTTTCTCAAGTGACAACTCGAACCCTCGCTGAAGTTTTTATACTGCGTGTAAATTGAAAGAAAACCCTCAGTTTTTAACTTGATTTTGTTAGCTTTGCAAAGTAAGAAGTTAAAGCACATCATTCCACAGCTGTTGTTTACATTATGGATCAATAAAAGGTCAGCTTTTCAGGTGGGCTAATAATACTAACTCTGGTAATTTTTGTCTTTCTTTTGAAATAATTCTGTTATTGTATGCAAACAGAAATAATTTATGCTTTCTAAAGAACGCTACTGCGTTTAGAAATGTTAAACATTGCTTGCTCTGTTAAAAAAAAAAAAAAAAAAACTTGGACAAAAACTTCAAATCTGTATAGCAATCACAAGTTAAAACACATGGTTATAACTGTAGGACTACCTGAGACTCTGCTGGCTGACGTCCTGCCCTCAGATGTCCCGCTATTCGAAGTGCCGCTGGCTGACGTTCTGTAGCCCATGGACCCTGAGGTGGCTGAGCCGGTGCCCGAAAAGGAGTCCTCTTGGAGGATAATGTTCAGCATGTCACTGGATGAAGAGTTGGCATCGCTGTTGTTAGCGTCACATTGCGAGCTTGTCTGCAAAAACAAATATTGAAGGAACACCACATCAGAGGAGCAGGATTCAGGTCCTCACACTGAAGCATTCATTACACTCGCAGACGCCGTTTCTCTTGCCGTTTTACATCCTGCCTCAGATTTTAAAGACTCACCTGGGAGCATGTTTCTGCTTAATCATAAAAAACTGTCATTCTCAGCAAACACTCGTTGGTTCCCAAGGACCGAGGAGACCAGTGTAGTTGATTTAAATTAGATACATGATCCTGATCCTTTTCCAGCTAATTTAAAGTGAGGGAAGTCAATAATTCATGAATGCAATATGTATATTATAATTAGAAAAGCATTTGCAAAATACAGAAGATGGCTGCAAACCACTTTTCCTTTCTTCATTATATCATCTCGGTACAATACAAACGACAATACCCCCTTCCACATGTTTAATTGTGAATCAGGTTCCCACAGCTGTGGAGGTCATGCTAAAATCAGTGTATGTGCAATGGAAAAAATACGAAGGTGAACCATTTAGAAGTAGCTGCATCAGTTTAAGCGTGGTCTGATCTTCATCAAAGTAACAATTCTGAAAAATGCATTTTTTTTAAAGGACTAACACACAAATTAGTGTATCGTCTTCAGTAATATGAAGCACATAGTTCAAACACCCACAGTATAGTAGACCCATGGGCTACAGGCTTTAAAAACCCCACTGGAGATATCCAATCCAGTAAGTCAAACCACACTGCATTGAATCGCACTTGTTATTAATCTCTGTCTCTCTTCCACAGCATGTTTTCTATCCTGTCTTCCTTCTCTCACCCCAACCGGTTGCAGCAGATGCCCGCCCCTCCCTGAGCCCGGTCCTGCGGAGGTTTCTTCCTGTTAAAAGGGAGTTTTTCCTTCCCACTGTCGCCAAAGAGCTTGCTCACAGGGCGTCATATGATTGTTGGGTTTTTCTCTGTATGTATTATTGTAGGGCGACTGTTGTTGTGATTTGGCGCTGTGTAAATAAAATTGAATTGAATTGACTTATTTAAAAAGGTGAGAGATGAAGGATGGGATCTGCAGCAGGACGCCAGCGGAAGCTGATCTTACCGTGTGCCTCGACTTGTCAATATGACACTCTATAATGCTTTTTTTGAACTGAGGAAAGTTAGGTTGAATTGCTTGGGGGAGAACATACACGCTATGTGCGCTGTACGGTAGAAAAAAGATCATGATTTGAGTTTTTCTGGGCCTGGAAATAAACCCACTGCAGAATAACTACAAATAGAGAAAAATCTGTCCAGTATCCAGTCAGACCCCAGAGACACAGTTAAATGAACTCAAGAGAGCGCTTCACTTCAGACATCTTGTGAATCTGGCTAAGCTGAGGAAGAGAAGTCCAAAATTTGGCAGAAAAATATGCTCTTCAACCCACAGCTACCAAAAACATTTGAAGTTTCTTCTGCCAGAGCATTTCTGACCAGTTAAACATAGCATTTTGGGTTATTTTCCTTCTAGCACAACAAATACTTAATGGCTGTGTTGATTGAAAAACAGAGAAAACTTAAATTGTTCGTGTTTTGGTGTTTGTAATGATCAGTTAAATAAAGATCAGTTCTCATTTTATAACCAATTATTAAAACTGGATTATTCCAAAGGTGCACATACAGAATACTATCCTGTAATTAACTTCCTCAAGAGGGCACGTGCCTCCAGGTTTTATTATGCTTCTTAGGCGGTTTTCATTGTCATGCTTCAGCTAAAAATCAGCGTCTACTGAACAAGCAATAATAATAATACTCATAAGTCATGAAAAGGAAAACAGTAACTGGAACAGTTGACATGGAATCGGGAAGAAATGGGATTTGAAAAGTGCGGAGGTTTTACGATGATTTGCCTACCTCGTTGCTGAAAGCACTCAGCCTAGAGCACACTTTATCCCAAGACAAACGCTCACAGAAACAGGCTGTACCCCCGAAATACAACGGTCCTGGAGGACCAAGGAGACTGAGAGATGGCTAAAGGGTGTAAGGAATAATAACATGATTAACACACCCTGGGCCACATTTAATCGGAGGAGTTTTTACAATAGCAAAACAGAAGTTATTTAGTGGAAATAATTTTGGATAAAATCACTGTCATAACGCCATTAAAGCCCACAAACTGAGATGCATATATAGTGAACTTTATGGGGGAACATGCCACAGCCTATAAAGGGAGCCCACGACGTTAAAATTCTTTGACACTGTGGGCTGCTGACAGATTAAGAAGGATCCAGGTGGGAAAAAAACAGGACAAAGGGAAGTTGTATTTCCTTGTTTACCTGATTCAGTTCCCTCTCCTTAGGCTGGCTGGCACTTGCTGTTTGCTCCCTCTCAGCTGCAGTATTTCCTCGTCCTCCAGAGGGGAGCATCGCGCCGTCCTGCCTGTCCACGTTCAGTTCCAGCTCCAGCAGGTTAAGGGGTGAGCTGCAGCGTGACTGGAATAAGCGAGGGGAGGCCTGGCCTTCAGCTCCTCCAGACTGTGGCGTTGAGGACCGAGACTGTCCTTCAACGGAAGGCTTAGGGATTTCCAAGGATGGTGGGAAGCAGAATGATGGAGTTGAGCTGCCTGCTGCTTGAGGAGGAGTGAAATTGGTCTGAACGTTGAACTGAGTCTGACCGCTGAAGGAAGGTGGGAATGGAAAGGCAGCCTGAGCAAAAGGCAATGTTTGGGTGGGGAAGACCCCAGTCTCTGCTTGGTACACTGGCTGCTGTGGTGGAGGACCGGGGCCCATTACAGGGTACAGGTAGTTAGGGAGTACTAGAGCCACAATGGGGGTGACCATGGGGGAGGTGTAGGGAGCAGAATGGATGGATGAGGGGCCAGGAGTGGCTTGAGCACCCTGGCTGTCCCTAAAGTTTTGTGTAGTGGTATCTGTCCGTGGACCTATGGACTCAGCTCTGGGGTAAACCTGGAGAGGGTAGCCTGGCATCACGGTAGGGTAGGCCATGGGAAAAGCCGACTGCGTTGCCTCAGAGGGAGACCAAGATGTCTGGTTAAGGCTGTAGTTTGGAAAAGAAGGCCGCTGCAGCTGTGGTCCTTGATGGGACGCTGTGCTGTCGGAGGACTCGACCTGTTTAGCCCTCTTTGATTTGGTCTTCTTATTCCGCGTGCTTCTCCGTGTGGTTGGCTCTGCAAACGCTCCACCCTGTTTGGGTCGAACAGCAGGTGCAACTAGACGATCAAGGAAATGAAAAAAAATATTTTATTTAAAGTTTTCATGAAAATTTTCCTCACGCATTGTCCGAGTGGACAATTTACAGATTCCTCCTATGAATAATAGGATAGGAGAGAGTAAAAAATATTGTTGTAAATATCATAAAAGTTGGAAGCAGGTGATCTAAACCACATAAAAACATCCTTGCTGCACCGAAACAAATATACTGTGCAGTCATAGCTAGTGGAAATATAACAGATTAAGGTTGAAACAGGGAGCCAGTCAGTAAACTGTAGAGAATATTCCTCATAATATTTCTTTGTCACTTTTTTTTTCTTCAAAATAAAACTCCTCTAGCTTTGGGATTGATTTCAAAGTTAGTTTGTGTCTGTTACTCTATTTCTAGTCTTTTTTAAAGCTGTGTCACCATCTCCGAAGATGTTTAATCAATGGAATGAGTCATAAATTATAAATAGAGATTAAACAGGTTATAAATAGACATGGACGTAAATTGCAGTGAGCCAGAATTATCCTTCCTGTGTCAGTATGGGGTTGGTGTTTAGTTGTACCATCGCTGCCGATCTGTTCTTTCTGACGCTCCAGGTACTCGGAGCAGTTTGCTTCGAGGGGGGAGAGTCTGCGAAGCTCTCTGAAGTGACACAGAAAGGCCTGCTCCTCCTTCTGCGTATGTGCTGCCAAAACCTGCTTGGTCAAGCCCAGCTTCTTGTAGCACTCTCTCTCCTGACTGGGAGGTGAAAATGCACACGGAGGAGCCGCAAGGTTCTGGCTGGATTCGGCCACTTCCCCTGTGCCCGGTACGTCCTCTATGATCTCTGCATGAATGACAGCAAGAGAATAACTTTAATAAGCTGTAAAGCAACAGAAGGTGGGGTTTTTAATGCAACACAACATTTTATTATTAAAAGCGACAAAGACAAAAGCAACATAGAGAAAACAATGCAGTAGCCTACACTGGAACATATAATGACACACTGAAAGAAAGGCTCACACAAATTGGGAACCACGTTCAAAGCCAACAGTCTGTAAAGCAACTGCACAGTTAAGACATTGCAGTGAAGTACAACAGTTACAGCCAATGAATATAGAGAAATTGGGCTGAGGTATTAAGATGAAGCGGTGCACAATCAGTGAGAGTTTTGCTGCATTTTTGCATAAATAGCTCATTTTCAGTCGATTCACTCAGTACAGCACATAGTATGCGTTGCGATATCCTATACTCCACGTGTTGTACCTCAGTCCTCTCCTTCAGAGAACAGAAGCTATAGACATAACTGTTGGTTTTGTTATTCTGAACTAAGGTGGATTATTATGTTACATGTTTGAACTGCAGAGTAGCTTTGCATGGTTTCAGTTTAAGATAATCCTTATTTAATTCATACTGGGCTTTGGTGCAGACAATCGAGCCGTTTTAGCTTTTTGCAGTTTTTCCTACTGACTGTCTAAACTCTCTGTAACTGAGTATATTTATGGCAGTCTAGTGTGTTAAACTGCCATAGTGTGTGTGCATGTGTCTTTGTCCCCCCCCATCATAAACCTTTGCAGTTATTTCAAATAGGACACAAACCCACTTCATACATACTGGAACTTGAACTGAAAATTTGCCATTGTTTTTTTTTCCTGTATTGAAGGTTTTGCTGATAAACTACAGCATCACAAACACACAGACACACATAAATCAGCACGTACACATACAGGCTGCATTTACAGTGCTGTGAGAAGCCATTTTCCTCTGATTTCTTCTATTATTGAATATTTTTCCACACTGAGACGTTTCAGATCTCCAAGAGGCAGAAACGGATTTTTTGCATACATGAAGTAAAAAGCACTAAAATATCCACAGTAATAGGTTTAAAAAAAACAATCTGTTGCATCCGTTACAGTCGCCAATATCACTCCAAATCAGTGATTTTTCAGTACTCTGTAGTGCTCTTTAAACAGAAATAAGCTGAAGAGTGTGCGATTCACATCGAACAACATTTTTTTTGTCTTAATAATCAGATACCTGTAGAGTTCCAGTATATTAAATATGCAACAATAGAGGGAATCTGGTTGGAGGTCAGTACTTTTTCACGTCACTGTACCTGACTCGGGTTGAGGTTTCTTGTCCCCAACATGCACTATGGTGCTACTGTAGCTACACTGGCTGGTTATGGACACCACACTTTCTGGTTTGTTTGGTACAGGTAGGGGCCGCGAAGTGCCCACTACCGCTGTGGCTGCGTCAGTGGACTTTTTATCTTGATCGTCCAAAGCAGAGAGACCAGACTGATCCTTCAACAAGGATGATTCTGCCAAAGAGAACAGAGAACAGGAACTACTGACAAGGAAGTGGTATTGTAGAAGAGTCTGATAGAGAAGTTTAAAGGGAAGAGTCTGAAAGCCTTAGAAGGCTGTAACTTTGCATGATAAAAAAAAAAAGGTAAGAGGTTTGTGTTATTCTTATTTTAGATGATCGGAAGTAGTGCCACATACCATTAGACAGCTGCATGCTGCTGGATCCCTTCTGTTTGTCCTCATCAGAGTTTGAGGACGTGGTGTTAGAGAGAGACTGGCATTTCCTTTTCATGGTGATGGGAACATTACAGCTCTCCAAGTACCTACAGGGATTTTTCAATCACAAAATTAGTATTTATGCTGATAATACCCGATTGTAAAAGTCAAAGACAATCAAGAACTTTAGGAACTCTGTAAAGGTTGAATTTTATAGTAACAATTCTTTCCAATTCCTCCCTGGTAAAACCATGAATGTGGACAGTAACAGAGAAATATGATACAGAGAACTTGCTGAACTTTCTTTGTATCCATTACGTATTACAGGAACATATAAAGTCCCTCTACATGGGATGGGCAATGCTAATGGCTGGCATTTTCTTCTAATGAGTCATCTCTGTACCTGATAACACTGTCCAGGCAGCTGATCTGCTGGTAGGAGTATACAGTCTGATCATTGAAGGCCAGGTCCTCCTGGAAAGAGGCTCTGCTCTCCTCCATAGGTGATCCCGCCTCCTTCCAGTTAACAGGAGCAGCCAAGTCTTTGGGTCGCACCACGGCTTGGCTCTTCTTCTGTACAGACTCTGCAGCAGACAAATTAGGCATTAGTGTCTAAGATTAATATGAAATCACATCATTGTATCAGCGACTGAACAATTTGCAAAAAATTAGCTCTGCAACCTAGCAAATATGCAGATAATTATTCACTGGACTTACTGGCATTGCTTTTTTTGTTGTCTGGCTTTGCCGTCTGCTGCTCTTCTCTCTTCTGAAGATGAATTCCCTTGCAGATTTCTTGAAAAGTTCGCTGGTAATAGACAAACAAGAGTCAATCATTTACAATCTGCTCAGACTTTTCATTCAAAATAATAATACAAGAATATTAAGACTAAATTCATATTAATCTTGGCTAAATTTGTTTCATAATCCTGAGGCAAAAGTGCTGTTACCCTGACCACATGGGTAAGGATTCACTGCAGTGAGCTGTAACAGTGACCTAATTCCCTTCCTTAGTCACTTCTTCGCCATATAATCAAGTGAATAATTTACTTAGTGGTTAGCAGCAACTTGAGGTTCAAGATTCTGAATAGTTTCACTGCCAACTGTTGAATAATGAGAGCTCCATAAAGAGAAAGTGAGCATGACTCACTACTCAGTGCTCTTTAGACTACAAGCCACATTTACCTCGTCACACATACAGTGCTTTTTTTCTATACAACTCGAGAGCTTCATATCCCTTACATGCAGGGTAAGACTTGCCAGTGCACCTTGCCAGTGCATGTATTTGGACTGTGTTTGATCTGCGACATGCATGCACACGTGCCTTGTTTTCAAGGCTGCTGAACTCAAACTCGGATGCTAAACTAAAATGTCAAACAATAAATGCAGTGCATGCAGCGTTTAAGAAATAATGCATGTTTGTGGGTTTACTCACAGGTCTGGCTTTGCCCCTCATGTCCTCTTCCTCTTGATGCATCTTGTTGTACGACAGGCTCTCGTTAGAGGAGCCTATTTCAAGAAAGTGGTCGTTGCTGTGCAGACTACCATAGCCGCTGGACCCACTGTTATGAACAGGCTGGTTACATAAAAAACAAGACAAAAGAAAAAGATTAAACAGGAACAAATGAAGAGATTATTTCCAGGGACAGAGAGGACATTGCACCTGCAATAACAGTAACTGTTAATCTCCTTCCCTCGATCAATCCTTAGTCTGTGTAGGGTCTTGAAATGTTGCTCTTTCTTTTACCTTCCAACTGAATTTTTTTCCTTTCAGCTTATAAAATTTATATTAGTTTTGTTTTTTTCCTCACCTGTAGCAGGAGCCGATGGATCTGCTCAGTAATCTCCTGGACGTCAGAGTCCATGGTCTTCACCTCTCTGACGCCTGAGACTGGGCCCATAAAAATGTCTTCATTCACGGGGCCCCTGGTAAACAAGCACATCTTACGTGAAGCAGTTTTGTCATCCAATTAAGAACTTGTTTCTATAATGTCACATATGCCGTGGTCAAATATTAATCTAATATCGATTTAAATGTATGTATCAACTTGTTTAGGTAATAAATACTTACATGCGGACTTTGTGTCTCCCAATAACAAAGGAGACTTTGCGGCTCCAAGGATTGACAAAACTGGACCAGCTGGTGTCTAAGATGATGTACTCTCCATTTCTTGCACAGAACCTGATGGACGAGTGGTCAAACGGTTGCCCTGCACACTGGAGGACTGCAGAGGAAAAACAAACAGATTGAGACAGGCGCTGATTTCCCCTGCTTACACTGGATGTTGATGTTTCTTCTGTCAATTTTGTGTGGGCTCACTCTTTCTGTGAATAGCCAGCATGATCGGGCGGTCACTGGGATGCAGGTGGCAGAGGACTGGGGTGCCAATCAGGTCCTGTGGGAGGTACCCAAGAAGAGGTACTGCCCTGAAACAAAGTGCAGTGTTAGCAGCCAACATCACCAAATGTTTGCACCTTTTTCAGAGATCACTTAGTTTAAATTCAGCAGTAAAAGCATTCTTGGCTTACCTCTCATCCACATCCTGGAACACACAGCTTGGAGAGTGAGTGGTGGTGAAGATCTGCTTGTCTGTTGGAATTCTGGGTGCTTAAGGATAAAAAAAAATATACAGATACAGTTCACTTTAATTTCTATAGCACCAAAACACAACGACAGTCTTCTTAACACACTTTTTAAAATTGTATGATGAAGACCTTACGGTGTCAGAGAGAAAACCCCAACAATCTTCAAGAAAAAGGGAAGTTTTAAGTCTAATCTTAAAATTAGAGAGGGTGTTAGTCTTCTAAACGCTGGCTGGGAGTCACTTCCACAGGACAGGAGTCTGAAAGCTGAAGGCTCGGCCTCCCATTCTACTTTCAGAAACTGTAGGAACCACAAGTAAGCCTGCAGTTTGATAGCAAAGTGCTCCATTAGGATATTATTGTACTAATAGGGCTTTTAAGATATGACTGATATCTCGAGACCTTTTATAGGAGGAGAAGAAATTTAAATTCAGCTCTGGATTTAATAGGGAGCCGGTAAAGAGAAGCCAAATTAGGAGAAACATATTCATATTCAATATTTTTACCATCATAACCAGAGTGGACCCTCTCAGCCAGAAGGAGGCAGCAGAACTGGTCTTCAGTGTGCACTGTATCCTGGACCTTCATCAGGTAAGGCGTCATGCGGAATGGATAGTACTGCAGGTCACCCTCACACTCCTTACCACTGCTGGATATTAGGCAAAAGAGGTAAAGTGAGCCAAACAAAGATGAGACTGGGTACATGAGTCAAGTATGCACAAATACCCTCTAGTTTAATCGCTTTTGGATTTTAGAATCTGAACACATGGGGGCGCTCTGTGGTCATTTTCCACCCATCAGTAAATAGGAGTGAATGTTTGTGTGCACAACTTTAAATAGCTGTTCTGTTTAAGGTTTTAGATCTCTGATGTGACCCCATAAATCAGACCAATACTCAAAAATATAGTTAAATAAAAGAATTCTTTAAAATAAAAGATTTAAAGAATGCTATAGAAGTCTGTGGTTACATCCTAACAAATGCTAAGTGTGTTGTTAATATGTAAATGGTCTTTAACGCTGGCCTGGAAAAAGCAGCTGTTTACAGGTTTTTATGCATATGATGTCACAAACTCATTGAAAAAGCATCTAGCCTGGATAGAAAGTATGAATATGAACTAAGAGCAGGTACGAGCAGCAGATGGTCCGACACTGCATTTGACCCAGCACCCACCCACCTGATACGACAGAAAAAGGACTTCTCCTGCATGCAGTCAGGCGGGGACGACTCTGAAATGGGAAGAGAAACGTTTTAATTCAAAAGCAACACGATCCAGCCAAATGGTGGTGAGAGTCTGGTCTCCTGTAGGTGTCCAATGGTTGATTAATTCCATCAATAAACATCCTTTGGAAGCCCAGCCCTGCACTTACTTTAAATGAATTTAAACATACATGGTACACCAGCCAAAATAATTCCAGGCCTAATTGGGAGAAAGAGTAAATGATTTATGGAGTATATTTAGTCTTATTGAGCACTTTGTGTTACAAGCACCATATTCCCCACACACAGGGCTCATCTGGGATTTAAATGCAGGACCTCTAAAAGGGTCTTTGTGCATAAACAAGATTTAAGGCACCACACTGACTGGTGAAGCTGGCCATTATCCGTTACACAGAGTCTCTCTGGGAAAATTAAATGAAGGGTATTCATTATCCGATTTCAAACTGTGTCTTGGACATTTGCACGTTTTGTTCTTTTGTGGACTTTTAAAAGCTTCCCCATTTGGCAACCCATTATAATTTCCAGATTATGCTTTAACGACTGAGACAGCTCGATCTGTTCCATATAGCTGAGTGAAAAGGGGTAAACATCAGCGGTTTTAAATGGATAACTTGAATCCATTGAACATAAACTTAATAAAGTACCTCTAAGCCTCTTCATTATAGACTCTCAGATGTTTTTCTATTTCTGTGAAGTCTTTATATAGTTCTGGTACTTGTAATGGATGGTCTGACATCATCCTCTTATTACTTGTCTGAATTTAACTTAAACGCTCAAAAGCTAAGCCCTCTTGGATAAACCCATATTTGTACTTATTTGGCTTTTCTTTTGCTATACTGTAACTGTTCTTGAAACTATTGTATTGGAAATCTGTCCTTATATTAACGTTGAAATCCCTTCTGGTGGTCCATAAGAACAATTACTTCAGAGATCTCTGTCGTCACCATACCTGCTCCAGTGCACATGCTCCAGGAGGGCAGGCGATAAGGCGTCGTGAAGCTGTAAAAGACGCTGACATCCTGCGGTGTAAGAAACTCCACAAACTTGGTGTTTCTGAACACATCTCTCTTACAGTTGAGGATGGAGGCAGCCTGGTCAGAAATGTAAACTATCCTTCCAGTGATAAGAGACACGGCAACTGCAAACATATCCTGTTGAAGACATGAAATTGTGGTTTGAGGAAAAAAATAATAATTACAAGACTTTTTCTTTGCATCTTTGTTATTGTTTAAGAGCACAAATCAGTTTTAAAAGCTACTTCAAGATCTTACATTGTTTTTGAGAGTGTACTCAGAGGTGATGCTATCGATCTCCTCTATTGTGTATGAAGACACATCCAGGCCTGAAGGCTGACTGTCATTGATCATCAGGAGCTGGTAATACTCCTCATTGGCTGAAAGAAGAAATATACACAGAACATTTTTGTCAGAATATGCTCAAAATATAAGCTCAGAGTAGATGAAAACTAGCAAAACTAACAAAATAGTATCAACATAAGACTACCAAGACAGAGCTGATGTAATAGTCTGTAATCCTAAATCTCAGTGCTATGCTGAAATGCGTCGCAAGTAAACATCTGCCCACCCATTAACATCTGCAAGCATTTCAGCAGGAATGAGGTGAGCATTTACAGATCATTACCTGGAAACTGCCTACATAAACATTCCCTCCTGCTCAAAGTTATGCCTTTATTTCTTTTTGGGTTTGGCTTTGAGCAAATTCTGTAAATTGCGCAGAGGACATTCTTGTGGCAGAAATAGGAGTCAAAAGCAAACATTTACACACGAATGTTAAGTGTTTCAATAAAAAAGTAGCTACTAAGAAGGAGGAACAGACCACAGAAACAAGAGGAACTCAGACTGACGCTTTTAGACAGTACACACCTTCCATCTGTTTCACACAGCGAAGTGCATACTTCAGGGTGTTCAGCGTGGACGACTTGTTATTGTGTCTCTTGTCAGCAGGCAGGTGAAACTTCAGCTCTTTCAGAGTTTTAATCACCTCCTTCTGCGTCTTGGCTTTGGCAGACTCCTCGCTACTGCAAGTTGCACACATACACGCACAGCGGCGAGTCAGACAAGGAGAACAGTCCCTCAGAAAGCAATTAAATAACAGGCACAATAGCTGGTTGTGTTATTATGTAAGGTGTTCTTGTGGCCCAAAGAGTGAGAATGTCCCGTGAAGTGACAAGAAGCTTCTTCAGTTATACAGCAACAGGTGGTGGATTTACCTGCAGCCGCTGGTTGAAGGGTTGTCCTGCTCAGAGCTCAGCAGGCTGAAGGCGTTTGAACTGCTCGGTGGAGATGGACTATGGGAGTTCGAACTGTGTGGGAAAAGAGGACAGGGACAGTTTAGTTTAACACTGCAAATGAAAGTCGACATCATCTTTATTATTAGAGTGCTGGTGTATATGCTTTAAGTGATCTTTTTGTACTGTAAAGGTGGGCCAAACCAACTCATAATTAAATAACTAAACAACAGGAAACTAACTGTAAAAGAGGTGACTTTCTGTGCATATGTTTTATATTTTATATGCACTTCTTGTCAGGGCTCTGTGGGCGGGCAGGTGAAGATGTGGATCCAAGTGCAGGACTCGGAGACGGAAATGTAACTGAAAACCACAGCTTTATTGCTGGCATCAAACAAAACATAAAGTGACCACTGAGCCCAAAAACACACAGGCATAATCCGAGGGTACCACGCGACACTGAGCACAGGAAAACAGAGGAAAACACAGGGCTAATATACACAGGGTGGTAATCAGGCAATGGGCAACAGGAGGGAGACACAGCTGGGAGAAATTGGGCTAACGAGACAATTTCGTTAACAGAACTGAACACACTCACATGAGACACAGACCTTCACAATAAAACAGGAAACAAGAAACCACTAAACAAAGACGCAGACAGACACATGCAACTCAAACAATTCATGAAACAACAAATCCTTAAACACAGATAAACAGAAACATGAAACTAATAATCATCATCATCATCACCACAAGCACTACAAGAGAATAAGAAAACAATCCATAATGCACAAACACACCAAAACTTAACAACTCAAAATACTGGGTCAAACACTTCTAGAGTGATTACATCACCCAAAAGAATATTGGATATCTAATAATAAAATAATAAGTACTCTATACTCAAGTTACCTAACATAATGACATGTAACTCTTATAATAAAGGAACAAGTATACTCAAACTCACAACAGGGTTTTTATACTTGAGCTAAAGAAAGCTGCTGTTTTCTGCCTTTGTGAATGTGAATCAGTGATCGGTGTCCCAGCAGCAGCTTCAAAATAGCTGGGTTACAAAAGAAGCTCTCTTCAACTGTAAGTATAGTTAAGGTTGGTTTTCCCTCTGTGGTGACCTTACATAAATCTGCATTGGGAGTGCAGCAAAGGGGTTTGGGTCTTTACATTTCTATATGTATTTTAGTCATTGTTCATGTGGTATCCAACTTTGAACTTAAAATATTTTACTCCTGTAGTATATTAGATCAATCTGTCTCATATGGTTAGGCCAGTTTGTTAAATGCTATTTCTGATTAGAGTTCTGTTTTGTTGACCTTTTAATGTCCCCATTTATTTCTTAAAGAGTCTGTTTGAATTATTATGTATTTTTTTGTATTATTTGTGTCTGATTTTTTACTCATGGTTTCCTTGGTGATGAATTTTCTGTTAGCTCTTGAGTTTCTATTGTGACTTTGTTATTCCTGCCTCAGCATGAGTTCATGTGTTTAGTAGTTATCCTTTGGGTTCATTCCCGTTTTGCTCTGATAGTTGGTCATTTCCTGTGCCCACTTTTATTTTTACTTCCCACCTTATCTCATTGGCTTGATTTCATTCAGCTGTGTCTTGTTGCCCTCCTGTTTCCACTTCCCCGATTACCTCGTTATGCATAAATAGTCATGCCTTCCTCTCAGTCTCTGGCTCAACATCTGTTATGCTTCTCAGTGTGCGGTCCTGTGCACAATTCTGTGATTACGCTGGATAAAACGGTGTGCTTTTTTTTCCCTCGGTCCGTCTTCTGTATCTTGTGTTAGAGCCCTAATTCTGCACAACCTGATGTCGACTGATGCATCTATACTGTACATGTATGACCCAAGGTGTTAACCTACAAGCTTAACACTACACTAATACAATAAAATCAACAGCGCTCGAGGACACTGACTCACTATCACGCAGCTTACTGTATATAACAAGCTTACCTGGCCAAGAATAGAAATAACCTTTACAAATAGCCTCTCCAAGCACAGGTGAGTCTCTAATTCTGCTAAATATAGACTCCAGCACCCACAGCTGGTTTTAGATTGGACAGCTTGAGCATGTATTAGTGTGTGAGACTTAGAAAGTGTTTTTGAAAGCAGGCTAGATTGCAAAGGAGCACTTACTAAGTCTGTGTGCCACTCTCTGAGCACCGCAGTACATAGTTCATTTTAGTTTCCACATAGATGTTGGCAGTAATTAGAACCTGAGCTGTGTCGCAATTTTATTATTATTCTGAGTTAGCTTCAGATCGTGCTCCATGAAGGACTCAAAGGTATCAAATATTTTCAATGAAAAAAAGCTGTCTCTTAATTGGGCTAGGTAATATTGCAATTTCAGTCAGTGCTCAAATTTCCATGCCAATGTAAAAAAGTGAAGCTAATTTTGTGGAAAAAGTACTCAAGTACAAGTATCTCAAAGGTGTAATTAGTTATTTTCCAGTGACACAATATTTGAAATAGACAGCATTGGTGTAAATAATTTACCTAATAACATTTTATTCTTTAGACCCTTGGTGGGTTTTTTGTTTTTGTTTTTTTACTACGACATGCACCTATTACACTTTGATGCTGCATATATATGCATTTTTTAAACCCTCTTTTTCTGAATGACCTACATATATATATGTGTGTCAGCTGGTATTGGTCTGTCACAGATTAACTGGTATCACACCACAGTGCAGGCAGCAAGTAATCAGTCAATCCTACTATATTTGTATAGTACCTCCAAAGCAGGTAAGTGCAGTTCAAAGTACTTCACAGAAGACTGACGTGGAAATTAAGGCAGGACCAGGAGTAATAAAACCTCACAAATATGATGCAATAATAAATTTAAGAGTAAGCTACCAAAAAGTTCATCTCACCATCATTTTCCCATTTGACTATAACTCTATTAGTATATTATATGCATTAATACATACAAACACAGTATTGTTAATGTTAGGGAATGAAAAAGGAAAATATATAATGTAAATATTTAGTATTTCACCACACTAGTATCTTCAAAAGCAACAATATGTTTCTGTGCAATTTGCAGGCACCAGGACACCAAGCTGTACCAAAGAAAAGGATATCAAAAGGCAGCAAAAAATAAAATAAATGTACTCATTGATACTTTTGACCAATTTGATTTAAAGATAAGAGCACCTGTTCTGTTGCAACACTACAAAGTCAGAACATAAACAAAGCAGCCAGTCCACTGCACGTATTAGCCAATAAGCTTGTCTAAAGACTATTAACAGCTGTCTGAGAAACTAACTCACCTGAGCTACAACTCAGCAAGCTACTATGAATAACCTCCTTACCTGACTAAGAATAGAAAACATCTTTACGAACAGCCTCTCCAAACACAAATAGGAGTCTAATCCGGTCAAATATAGCCTTCAGTACTCAGAAATACAACAGCTGGTTTTAGACTGTACAGACTGACCATGTATTTGCGTTGAGCAGCCTAATTCACATTGTGGTAGTAAGTCTGTAGGTCGTTTAAACTAGTTACAATAAGAGCGTGCTCAAAGAGGCTAGTCTGCAGCAGGGACACAAGGTGACAATCAGGGCAATGCCATCCTGTTTAATTAGGAACTGCACAATGACTCTGTGGTTTTCTTATGTTTCACAGACATGAATAAGGCCAGCGTAAGTGGGCCTAAAAGCAGGTTTTAAAATGAACAGTTCTTTACGTGAATGAATATAAGTGGAAAACAACCCCAGTTTGGGCTTTCTGGGCCAAACTGAGCCAATCCTGTTTAAGGTTCAGAGTATTAATGGAAAAAGAAGTCACATTTCTGCAGCAGGTGTTAAAACAGATTTATCTGCATGTTTGTTTAAAATGTAACATAATGGTCCAAAACCACAGAACTGTATTTTCTACTATGTGCATACTGGCAAAAGTTAATTCAGATGAAATGTCAATTTTTAATCATTTCACCCTTTTATTACCAAAGAAAAGGATATCAAAAGGCAGCAAAAAAGTAGTTGCTGAATAACTAACAGCCAAACTATTGTCAAAAATGACTAATTTAAATCTGGCCACCGTTAAATTAATTGTTTTAACAGGTCAAAGTCACAAACATAATCAAGTTTAGTGATTACAGATTAGGCAGCTGCAAAGAAGCAACTCACATGTTCTACTAGGTAAACTAACTGCTTGACAACTCAGTCCTGTGGCTTGGAGGAGATCAAAATAATGGCTTCAGTTACCGATCGGAAAGGGCAGCAAGGTAAAGTGATGAAAATATTACAAGTGTGGTGTCCACTTTAATGGATGATCATTTTTCTTTAGGTGGGTCTTTGCTGGGATGCAATGGTAAACACCATGTACTCTTAGTAACAGGTTGTAGTGGGTGGTGTTACCTCATACAGACTTATTTAAAACTACTACTTTCTGTACAGGCTTTGTTCTCCCTACCTTTTATGAGGTTTTCTTCCAGGTGTTCTGACCTCCTCCCACAGGCTAAACATTTTAGGCTAATTTGTGATTGTAAATTGGCTGTAGGTGTGAAAGTGAGCATGTGTGATTGTCTGGATCTCTGTGTTAGACCAGGGGAGTACCATGTCTCATCTCACTCAAAGTGATCTGGGACAGGCTCCAGATGAACACACAGTGAGAGGGAGAGACAGAGCAAACAGTATCCTGGCAAAGGCAGAGAGGAAGAAAGGGACAGAGAGCGAGAGAGGAGAAAGCAACCCAGAGGAAGCAGAGATCGTAACTTGGAGTATGGATCATTAAATTCCACAATTAACTTAAACTTCAACATGTTTATTATTAATTAGTTTTTGGGAGTGATTTAATGCCCACTGCCCATGGGTACAAAGAGACTGATATTAGTTTTCCTACAAACACTGGGGCATATTGGCATTTGTGTGCTAGTTTAGCTCACTGGGTAGAGCAGATGACCTATATTCTGTAAGGCTAACGCAGAGACCTTGGGTTGAATCTGCTATTTGCGGTGTCTTTTCTGGCTCTTTCTTCCAGCTTTTCTGTCCTTTCTCCACAGTCATATCTCAAAGAAGGCTAAAAAGTTCAAGATAAATATGTATAAACTGTCAAATATCAGTGGTGCACTGCACTGTATCCGCTATGCGATACTGACTCACCTGAACTATAACTCGGCAAGCTGCTATGAATAACCTCATCACTTGGCTAAGAATAGAAAACATATTATTTACAAAGAGTCTGTCCAAACACGATTAGAGCCCAATTCTGTCAAACATTGCCTTCGGAAATGCAACAGCTGGTTTTAGACTGTACAGAGTGACCATGCGTTAGTGTCGACACGCTGATTCACAATGTGGCTCTAACTCTGAGTTATTTCAATTAGTTAAAAAAAAAAAGAGGCTCAAAGAGACTTAAATTTTTACACTGTGCACCAGAGACAGGAGGTGATGATCAGGGTGAGGCGGTCTTGTTTAAACTGCAGAGCGACAAGTTTTTATGCGCATTTGAGAGACATAAATAACCCAGGGAAGCCATAACACAGGTAAGTTTACACTGCAGTGCGCTTAAAAACAGTGGCTCATTCTCTACGACGACTATAAAGCTATATGAACTATATGAATAGTGAGAAAAGACAACAAGAAATGTGACTTAAAATTTTGATTTTCTTTTTTAGGGAGTTGATTAAAATAGCAGTGTACGAGTGATATCCAGTTCTGGCACTACATGGTAATTATTTCTACAGAGGAGTATGCAGACGTGACGCACGTACTCCTACACAGAGAGTAATTGTAGGGATGCAATTTTCTATTCAAAGCCTTTTGTCAAACAGTTATTCATTCACTGATAGCTGTGCAGATTCTTTATATAGTTAAACTATTTACTCCAAAGAAATATATTTTAGACCCATTTCTGACTGACTTCCTCTTTGGAGTACTGATGGAAAGTAAATATCTTTACAAACGGAGATTTTTAACCTTTTTCTGTCTAAAATCCTGCATACATACATGGAAACACCTGTCCACACTAAGCGATAAATACTTATAAAATATATCTTTTATATCTTTCATATTGGTGCATTTTGATACATGTCCTACACATTTGATGCACTGTGATCCAGAGTTGTTAAAGACTAAAACGTGAACCTGTTTCTTACTTTGGACTTTCCCTTCCTTCAAATCTGCGTGCTGGCTTATCTCTTTATGTCTGGTAGATATAAATCTCGACAGAAATGTTAAAAGCTGAAGAACTGGTGGCAGTCACCCACGCTCGCTAAAATGTGGGGCTGTTAACTGAGTTATATCAGCCGACAAAGATTTACTTTTTCTCAGAAGACATTTTGACTTGTCGCAGGAGAAAAAGGACAGGTGACATAACAGTGGCTCTTCTGGATTTGGCTGTACGAATAATTTCACACCTATGCTTTTAAAGGTCAAATGTCTGCTCCTACTCTAACACATATAACACTATTACTTGAAGTACATTCCCCTCCTTGCTTCACTCTCGAGCATCACAGGTGGATAAAGTGGGATATTAAAGGGGAAAATTGAAGGATACTCCTGCAGGTCTCACAACATGAAACTGTCTAACAGACCAGTGATGGACCTGAGCCTGGAGCTACAGGCTCAGAGAGAGTATAGTGTGTATTTATTCATTAACTGCTTTTACTTTTGTCCCCTTTTCATTAATTTTTTGCTTCAGTGTATTAGAAGCATGATTTGACTTGAGTTCTTACTCTTTACACAAAATATGGGGTGAAATACCAGCCACTTAAGTAGGTGCACATGATAACCTGCCTGTTCGTGCAAATATCTAATCAGCCAATCACCAGTTCAAAGCTTTAGACATGCAGACATGGTCAAGATAATCTGCAGAGGTTCAAAGCAAACATCACAAAGTGGAAAAAAGGTGTTGTAAGTGACTTTAAATGTGGCATGATTGTTAGTTAGGCTGGTCTGAGTATTACAGAAACTGCTGATCAGCTGGGATTTTTCCACACAATCATCTCTAGAGTTTACAGATAATGGTCAAAAAAGAGAAAATAATCAGTGAGCAGCAGATCTCTGAGTGAAAATTGTTGGTTGATGTCAGAGGACGGCTTCAGCAGATAGGAAGGCAACTATAACTCAAATAAGCACTCATTACCAAGGTATGAAGGCGAATGAATGCACAACACGCTGAACTTTGAAGCAGATTGGTTACAGCAGCAGGTTGCACTCCTGTCAGCTAAGAATGAGAAACTGAGACTCAAATTTGCACGAGGTCACCAAAATTGAACAGAAGGAAAACGACTCCCAGTCTGACAAGTCTCCATTTCTGCTGAGACATTCAGATGATTGGGCCATAATTTGGAGTAAACAAGTGAAACATGAAAGCATGGATCCATCCTGCCTTGTATCAGCGAATCAGGCTGCTGACGGTAAATTGTGGGGAATATTTCCTTGGTACACTTTTGGCTGCTTAGCATCAACTGAGTATCATTTAAATACCACAGCCAACCTGAATACACAAAGCTGAAATCATCTCACACTGGTTTCTTGAACGTAACAATAAGTTCACTGTACTCAAACGACGTCCACAATCACCAGATCTTAGTGCGATAGAGCACCTTTGGTAAGTTGGTATCCATATCATGGATGTGAGGCTGACAACTCTGCAGCAAATGTGTGATGCCGCCGTGTCACTAAGGACCAAAATGTCCAACCCCCTTTTGTCACTTAAATTTTGCTATTTAAATGAGGAAGGTGAATGAGAAAGAGCAACAGATGCAGGTAGCAAGGTACTAAACACAGAGAAAGACGGAGTATTTTTTAGATGCTGAGGGAAAAAAATAGCAAAAAAACTGGTACAAAAGGTTAAAAGTTCAAATAAAGAGAGCGGCGTGAGTAAGAAGAGGGAGGAAAAAAAAGTAATAGCATTTTTTGAGGGAGGGAGCTATTGCGTGCGAGGCGCATATGGACAGGAAGAGGAGCGGTTTTTAAACAAATAAAAAAAAAACTCCATAGTGAAAAGATCAAGTGAGGTAAGCCAGTCAAGGCTGAAAGTGAGGCAGTATAACGTCAATGCCTTCCACTTGGCCGGCGCCACCCAGTAAACAAAGACAAACATTTTGTTGCCATAGAAATGTCAAGGAGCTGGCGAGCATGACACAACCCATCTGCTATAAAGAGACAGCCAGCATCCAGTTTTCCTACTGGAAGGAATGATCGTTTTTATTTTTTCCACTGCTGTAGTCATGCCTTGGGCAGGCTGCACTGCGTCTGAACATTTTTTAAATCATGATGAAGTCACGTCTGCACGTTTGTGGAGAGGCAGGGGATTTTAAATTTTTTTCGTACTTTAGTCATTTAAAGTTTTCTTTGAGAAATGCCGTAACCAACAACTCTTCAGATACTAAGGCTGTGATGTGACTGAACATTAAGTTAAACTTTAAGGTGTGCCGTGGACAGTAAGCAAACATTAACTCTCACTCAGAGTGAGAAAAGTGAACATTAGAACACATCTGTAAACATAAATCCAGAAAAACACACAGCATGCTACCCTTTAAATTCTCGTGAGGATCATCTTTAAACATAAAGCTGAAACCACCTCACAATTCATGAAAATAGCCTTTATAATTAAACACTAACCACACAGCATCACAGTACAAGTGTTTGCATTTCAACCTGTTTACTCCAGAACGAACAGAAGCGTGGAGCACATGGACGTATCTTACCAAAACATGTTTTTTGTGTGTCCTACATAGAAATCAGCTCATGTTTATCAAGTTGGATTCTTTTATAAAAAGTGCAAAAAACAGACACCAACTGCTCCTAGTATGACTCACTTCTATGCAATGTGAGCTGGCAATGAGATCTAGTTTAGGGAGTGAGAACATGTTTGCGGTGACACTAAATAATGTCAAATTAATCCTCATTTGGCAAAAGTCCCAACGTAACATTTTATGACAAACAGGATGTGTACAATTACATTTCAATTGGGCTTCTGGGGCGAAGAGCACGACAGCCATCACTGAAGCCTTGGTTCACTCACTCATCTACATGCATTAGCCAATGGGGGCGGATGCATCAGCCGCTGCTAACTGCATTTATTATGACTGTGACATGTTGATGGTCAATTTTTATGCCGATTGTTGTCACTCATTAGCAAAGGGCAAACGTAACTACGTAAGAGGAAAAAGGAAAAAGGAAAGAGCATAAATAACCCAGCACAGTTTTTCCCATGAGGAAAGCTGGTGTTATCTTCGGATTGGCATTTTTGGCATTTTCTTTTTTATCTAATGGGGTCTTGAAAAAACATTTATCAGCTGCTACGGTAATTTGTAAGCACAGACACAGACTGCTGTGATCATTCTTTTTGTTGAACTACCTGCAGATTCCCAAGATAGCAACCTCGGGTCTTGACCCCATTTATTATCTCCTACTGCTGGCTTGTCAGACCAGCCAAAGACTTGTCAAAGACGCAGTACTTTGGTTGATTGTCTGTATGTGCTACTATGCAAAGACGAAGCGCAACCCTCATAATGGTTTTATCATTCCCACAACCACCACTGACCTCTTATTGCTCTCAGAGGATTCAAGCAGTGCCGAGTCCTTGCTGTTGCCGGTGGAGCTTCCCATCGACTCGTGGCCGTTGCTGTCGTTTCCATGACTTTCATTGCCGTGGCTTTCATTGCCGTGTGATTCGGTCCCACTCCCGCTCGATCCGCTACTCTTCATCTCCACATCCTCCTCGGGTAGTGACCGAGAGCGAGTGTTCTTGCGATGGTTGTCTGGTGAAGCGGGAGGGTCCTGATCGCTGCTGTCGCTGCCCTCAGAAGGGAGGCCCAGGTCAGGCCTACCTTGGCTGAAGGCACCCATACGGTGCAGCTGTGCCATGGAGCTGCACCCTGAGTCCCCCCTTGGGATAGAATTGCATGAAGTGGACGCTCTGCAACTCGAGGCTCCATCCTGATCTTCCAAACCTGGGAAGCAGTAGGGCTTGGAGTCTGAATCTTCTGACATCAGGAGATCTACACAGGCCTTGTTCCAGGTTAGTTTACTAGATGATAAAAAAAAAACCCAATTACCCCATTTTTACAAGGGTAATAGCCGAGGGAAATAAAGAAGAAGTGGACTGATCTGCGGAGAGAAAGAGAGTACACATGTTAGTAATGAAGTAAAACTTGTCCATTCCACATTTTATGACTGCATTATATGTAAATAAATGGGTAATATATGATGGAATGAAGTGATAGTGGAAAAAAAAACCCTGAGTCAACTAAGTTTTGATGTGCTATTATATTATTGTTAATGCCAACAGAAATTGAATTCAATAGATGCCTGGGTGAAGCAAGGTCAGTCAAACACATGCTTGCGAGATTGGTCAGGATTACTCCAAACCATACGCAATTTGCATTTAATTAGTCAAAACATAAAGAACCCACCAGCATTTCATTTGCAGACAACAACAACATATTTTTAGAAAGTCTTTGAGACACAAATCAATGCTGCGCCCATCATTCAAAAAGCTGTCTCGTCGTTGTCTGGTATGAAATCAGAGCACATTGTGCTCTTTGACCCCTGACCTGTGAAGAGCCCTGCAGATTCTTCTCTGATGTACTGTAAAAATGGCTCTGTGGTACAGACAGCGTGGCCTTTAAGAACAGCAGGCCTGTCCCATGTGAGCCCACCAACCCTTTCAAAGGATCTTTCACTCTGGGACACATGAAACGCCAGACAAGCTGAATGCCATCATACACTGCAGGCCAACAGTGAAGGGGCTTTGGCCTGTTTTCTGTGGTTTTTTTGACAAACTGTGCAAAATCTGTGCTCTTTTAAATAATGATGCAGTACAAAAGCCAGATTCCCAAATACTGGTGGTTGGAATTACTTCTGGTTACAGTAAGTGACGCAGAGCTCGGTGAGAACATCAACAGTGTCGTGTTTGGAGTAAACAAGAAAAAGGCCATGGTGATGGCTATGATCAGAAGAAGCGGCTAAAAGTTTTTTCCCTCAACAGGCCGTTTCTGGAAATTGATTTATCAGCAGCGAAACTCTTTCTAAAGGGCAGCACTTTGAATCACAGCTAAAGACTGGAAATTTACAAGAGAATTTGCACAGTCAAATCAGTCAGGTGAGAACCTTTGTGAGAGTCACGTGTATGACATGTGCAAGACCAAATGGTATAAAAGGCAGATTAAAAAGGCAGTATGTGCTGCTTCACTCTGTAATGATACAGAATTAAACTAATTACGCACAGTGATGCAGTGTAACCCATGGTTTGTATGATTGCTTTGGTGTGCAAGAACTTTTCACTAAACTAAGTTCAAATATTGTTTTTTTTTTCCTTTTAGTCAAAGAAAGATGAATGTTCCCAAAACATATATTCAAACTTGAGATTTACAGTCATTCAAATAAAATCTTATCAGTCACTCAGTTCTGTTTCTGGGCAGCATGTTGAAGTTAAAGCCACACTGTGCCCGTGTTTAACCTCTAGTCTTGGATGCCTTCCAGGAATAATCTCCCTCGTCACTAGAATGCCTTTCCCCAGCCGTGCAATGGAAAATGTCTATATTCTCCTCAGCCTGAAGACACACGGCAGCTCTATGCCCTCCTTAAGTCACTAAGCCCGGAAGCAGAAGTGGATTTAGCCTCACAGAGTTAGCTTTTCAACGTCAAGCCCATAGAAGTGCAACGACTTTTACGTAGGCAGGTGTTTGGATGTCACTAATGTTTGTTGTCTATTGATCTGGTAATGACCTGTTTGAAAGGTGTGTGTGTGTACAGTATGTGACAAAAAAGTTGCTGGCTTGACAAAAATGTGTTTTTCATGTTGTTTCTGATGGGTTTTTAAAACTGCAGATTTGTCCTACTTTCTACTCACGTTGCACCTGATCGATAAGTTCGACCATCATCTGTTTGTCTTTTACTTAAAATAGAACACAGGTCAAATTAGACAGAATGACTGACAAGAATTGAGCAAGCGCAGAGGGATTTGATACTTTTCTTAAAGCACGATACAACTAAAAACACAAGGACCACACAAGCAGCGCGACTCAGTTTCTCAAATTCACACAAAAATATTATTAAAGATACAAAAAAAAGAAAAGAAAACAGAAAAATTTGGCTCATTGAGCAGTTTAGAGTTCAAGGCGAAGGTTGCAACACTGACCTCTTGACTTTGCATTAAAAACGTTATCACTTACTAAACTTGCATGTGTGCACGTGATTGTCTGCAAATCGGGCTGGCCCATCGATTGCGCAACATCACACAGTCATCCTTACTTTGTCAAGGGTACTGAGGTATTTGCATTAATAATGAGCAGCTCTGTTGGCCTTTTCAAATGGCAGAAAGCAGTTGGCAGTCAGCAGCCTGCATATCCCTGACATGCTGTGAAGTAGGCATATTCTCTCTGTGAACTGGGTCAACGTACAGCCAAATAATAGGGACAATTAAGGGACAAGTGAGCAACTTGTGTTGTAGTTTTTAGACTGCTTGGCAAGCTTAACTGGAGCAGTGAGTTTGGCAATGACTTGTCATCGCTGCAAAGTGAGATGAGCTTTGTGGCTTTTTTTCAGTCTTTCCTTTCACACAAAAAGTCCATCATGATGCACAGCGGACATTATAAATGAAAGAGTTTGTTAAACCCAACATAGTGTACATACTGAACATTCTTCACTGACCGCTGACCAGTTCGTTTTAGTTAAATGGATGGGGGTTTTTGCAGGCGCTGCTGCAGAAGCAAAAAATGCAAAAGCAAGTCTGGTCCAAAGTTGAAGAGCTGACTGGCAATGTTTCTAACAGTCACAAAGTCCAGGAGTTCACACTGGTTGCCAACTACCTACCAAACATTGACCTCTATCGCTCATTATCATGCCAGTTGGCTCAATACCAGCAGACAGTCGGTTGAGAAAGATACTAAGAGAGACAGTTACCAAACACGAGCAGGATCAGATACTTAGAAAAGCTAAGAGAGAGAAAGTTCATCCATCCTCAAAAATATTCTCCTTGGACTAGATGGACTGCTTTAACTGTCTGTTCTTCACTTTGTTAGGTATTCAACTGCTTCTTAATGCAAATATCTAATCAGCCAATAACATAAGAGAAGTTCGATGCATACCGGCGTGTCGACATCGTCAAGACAACCTGCTGAAGTTCAAACTGAGCATCAGAATTGGGGAGCAAAGGTGATTTAAGTGACTTTGAGCATAACACATTGTTGGCGCCAGACTGACTGCTCAAGGATTTGCAGATAGTGGTCAAAAAGCAGACAGTTTCCAGTGAGCTGCAGTTATCTGGGTGAAAATACCTTGCTGATGCCAAAGCTCAGAGGGAAATGGCCAGACTGCTTTGAGCTGGTTTGGAAGGCAACAGTAGCTCAAATAACAACTTGTTACAACCAAAGTATACAGAAGAGCAGTCATGAAGTCAATGGGCTACAGCAGCAGAAGAGCACACTGAACACCACTCCTGTCATCTAAGAGCAGAAACTGAGGTGGTGGTGTAAAGAATGTGAAAGCATTTTTGTTTTTGTTTGCTTTTTGGATCAAGGCCCCCATAAAATACACTCCATCAAATTCTTATTTGGATGGAAGGCTAAGAATGTGAACAGAGACCTGTCACATGTCTGAAAGTAGGCTACATAGTACATGATGGTCCAGCAATGACAATCCAAGCTACTCTGGCAACACTGAGAAGTTTATGTAATTTATTGCTCTACACTACACTATTTTGTTTATGGAAGCTGAGGACTTACTCAAAATAGATCCCCCTCTCTAATTTTTATTTGCGTAAAAGATAATTAACAAGAAAGAGTCAATAAACCCATGCAATAAAAGTCATTAACGGTGGTTCATTTTCAGCATTTACTCTTGGCCTACCACCTGTTAATCGTTTCTCAAAAAAGCCCATGGATGTCCGTTTCTTCTCTGTAGTCAAGGTTACCCGAGGCCACTTCGGCATCTTTGATTGTTCCTTTTTTCCTGTCATTAACTGGGTCTTTTCCATCCAGTTGAGCTGCCAAGGAAGCAGAGGAGAGAACGAAATGGATTTCCTGTTGCCCATTAAGAAACTAATCATCATTTTTAACTGGGTAAGCTCGCAGGGACCTTGACTCATACTCGTCCCTCACGTGACATTTGTGCAGGGTTATCTTTTGGTTATCTTTCACCAGCTTTGCATAATCAATACACACAGGCAGTGACACTATTAAGCGTGAGTTACAATGCAGTTCTTGTCAAAGGAAGCGGTCAGGAAGCCTTTATATCCTCCACTGAGGTAAGCAGACGAGGTAACAGGTGACAAACAAGGTAAGATCAGAAACATAACGCAATTACAGCCTCTGTATTAGCAAATCTTCGCCAACACTTTCAATCCATTTAATGCAATCAGATTCTTCCGGGAACACGATGCTCACTTGGCCTTTCTGAATCTTCAAGGACAAAATGTCCCATTTAGAGCTTAAAACATTAAAACTAAGGTTGTAATTAAGGTGGCAAATTAAGATTTGATTACATGTGTTCAGCCCCCTGAATCTATTCATCGCTTTAGTTGTCACCGCAGTTTTCCTAGACGGCTGGAAAAACAGACTGTCTGCAACATATTTCCAGATAACCTTGGTCCTTCTTAGAGTTTTTTTCTGTTTTGTTGCTGGTCTTATTCAGAGTTACCAGAAATATTAAAACCTCCTGCTGCTGACTTAAAAAAAACCCCAACAGACTCATTGTTTAAAAAGTCAAAACTCTTCCAACCTGAGATCCTAACAATAAGACTTAATAAGATCCACTATGTTAGGTACAAATGTCACCGTACTGGTAATACACTGTGAGTACCAGCTGACTTCCAGATGTTTTAACTGCTACCTATACAGGAACCTGAGATTATATCATAATAACTCTCACCAAAAAAAACAAACCATATTACCCATTCCTTACTGCATATTGCATGCTAGACTTGAAATTGAATATGAAAAAGTCCATAACATCAAAAATGCTCTAGCTTTACAAACAGCTCCATATCAAGCTGTAATTTTATTTCATAACATTCATTGATACTCTGTGCCATCTGCTCACTACGTTCCCCTTCGTGTGATTTTTATGTAATTCATCTTTTCTAGGGGAAATAACCAGCACCAGATTACACAACTGTGCCAAATGAAAGACGTTCTAAGGATTCATTCATAATTAATCTTTACACACCACAACTGCATAATTAATATGTTTATTACACTTTAATTGGACTCAAAACAACTCGTATAACTGCACAGAAGTAGCTGCAGATTTATGTGCATCGTGCAGAAGGAGTCCATTACATTTCCATTATTGTCACACAGGCAGTGTTTCTCAAAGTGTTTATGGCACTCTGCCCCCCTCATGATGTCTGAGAACCTCAGATTCATGGGGTTGCCCTTGAAACAATGATGCAATAATGACTTTAGAAGCTTAATATAAAAAATAAACACCACTTCAAGATATTTGTCCAATGATTTGTTTTTGTAGGCAAAGTTCTTACACCATCATTTGTGTTACCACAAAATTTAACTGCATGTTTAAATTAGCAGATGGAGGCTGAAAAGCCTAATTTATAAACTACCTATAAGTACTAAAAGAGAGGCTAAAGGATTTAGTCTCAAGGAGTCTGAAGTCTTATGGATTTAATGTGGGGGTTTCCACCAGTGTGTGAATGGTGTGTCTTGCACACTTTGATATGATGGTATGTTTTTACTTTAGCGTCTCAGTTCTTACATGCATGCAAAAAAGTGCAAAACAATGACTTGTATGCACCATGACTCCACTCACGTGCAGACATGACTGCAGTCGCTCTTTGGGATTATTTCATAATTCCCTGACCTACATCTGTCCTTGATGACAGCTCAAAAACTTGCGGTAAATAAGACTCGTAGTGCGCGCGCGCACACCTGCAGAGACCACCTAAGACTTTCTTTGCTGTAGACCACCAGAGTCCAAGCAGAAAATTCCAACTATTTTCAGCACGACTGCATCAAAACTGCTGCACGTTTGCTTTGGCACCTTTCCCTTAGACTGTCCTACAGCACTGTGTGCTTTAAGATGTTTTTAACTATTTATCATAACAATAAACTCCGAGTGACATATGGTTAAAAAAAAGAGAAAGAAATCTGCAAATTCATCTCCTGCTCCACTGCGATTGTGGGCAGGGAGTGCTGTGCCAAGGCAACCGTTCTTATTGCAACAGTAAAACAAAAATGCATAAATGAGATCTCCACTGAGCCCTATTTGCGTCACTCATCTTTCTCCTCCCTCCTCAGTCACAAAGGGCAAGGTGAATACACCCAAATTAAGCCTTCCACGCAGACACTTCTTCCATTAATTATGATCCACATTTGCATGCCGCATTTTGACTTGTCTTTATCCTCTTTTAGCAAAATTAAAAATCAGCATTTACTTTGTTTTCTCTCCAGTCTCCCTTGTAAGGACTTCTGTTGCTGCTGCTGCTGTTGAAGATGAATGAATGCTTTCATATAAGGATTGTCTCACTGTAGCGAATACCAGCAGCCTGACTCTGCCTATTCAGAAAAGCGTGGCGCACAGCCCAGAGGTTTTCTAATAGGAACTGCGTGTGAACTTCTGCCATGTGCTGCTGCAGTAGCCTCTTTATGTAAGTCGTCAGGAGTTTTCATGTGTCAGTGACACTACAAACAGTGCGCCATATGCGACTCTGCCATCGCTGCCCTATGCATCTCCGCCGCTGTGAAATACCTGCCAGATTAAACCCTTATGTTAAAGGTCCTCTGAGCGCAGGCCACCACCGGTATTTCATCCCGCTGTTACATAGGCACAGCTGGTGTCCCGTTGGAGTCTCCTGACCCCCACGGCAACACACATTTATGCAACTTTCACCTCCCGCGATCCCACAGCAGAGCCTTTTTACACATTCAGAGCACAGCTGGATAAAAGTGGAGTCGGCTTCACCCCTACACGTTCTACAACCCGGAGAAGCGCTGCAGCGTCTTACGCACCAAAGAAAGATAGAAAAGAGAAACTCCCACCAACCTGACAGAAGGCTGATCGTCTTTAGCTCCGGGTGTCTCCGGGAAATAAAGGCTGGCCTCTGGTGTAGTTCTGCGGTTGGATCCGTGCTGCGATGATTAGGTCCCGACAGCCCTGCGTTCGTCTCTCAGCGATGCCCTCTACCCCGTCCTGATTCCCACTCACACCGGGACTCTGCCCTGGATCTCCAGCGCTGGCAGTGACCTCATTTCGACAGCCATCCTCCAGCTCCTTCGCTCATTGGCCCACGAACCTGTCGGTCTCTACGTCACGGCGCTCGCATCGAATCAGCGCCAGCCGCCCCCTCATGGGCGGGGCTCCAACCGCCGCTCCGCACTGTGATTGGTCCCCCCTTATGCCACTCCTTTTATATAAGTGTGTCACCGCTTTCACGTGGAAACCCACGGCTACTGCCGGCGTGAGAGAAGCGAGAGCAAATCACTACGACGCAGCTGCCGGTGAATGAAGCAGTGGCGATGGTTGGCTCACAGCGGCTCAGAGCGGCCGACTGTTATCTAAACGGTTATACAAGTGTGCGTATGACCAATGTGGCTGAAGTGCGCAGTCATTCGCCTAAGCAGAAAAGTTCCTTGACTCTCCTAAAATAATGTGATATAACCCAAGGTCTCATTGATCGCGGCTGTTACCTAATTACAGTCACCCTTACATAAAAAAGTGGGAACTTGTCGCTGAAGCTGCTTCTAAGATATGTCGTAACACAGAACTGTGCAAAATCATCTGACGATGACGTATCAAGATATAAAGGCAGGTTTTGTTCTTTTTTTGTATTTGTTTGTTTTTGTTTTTCCTGTTTGCAGACTAGTCACATAACTCAAGCAGTAAAATTAAATAATAAATGATAATTATATTTTGGTGTGACCACCGTTCCTCTCAGAGTTGTCGTTCCTTCAGGTAGGCATACACACAGGTCTCTTCACTTCTGTCTCTTCATATAATGACAGGATGATGTTGAGGTCAGGGCTCTTTGGGGAGGCACACTCTCTGCAGGACGACCTGTCCCTCTTGTGGCTGAATGTAGGTTTTTTCTGCCTTTTTAAAAAAAAATTTTTTAGATATCGTGGACTTGGATACTGAGCTATAGGGGAAAAAAAGAAAAAGAAAAAAATAATAATAAAAGAACAACAACAACAACAACAACAACAACAACAACAACAATAACAATAATAATAATAATAATAATAATAATAATAATATGGTTGTCTGTCCCTGTGTGTTGGCCCTGCGACAGACTGGCGACCTGTCCAGGGTGTACCCTGCCTCTCGCCCTATGACAGCTGGGATAGGCTCCAGCGCCCCCCGCGACCCTGAAAAGGATAAGCGGAAGCGAATGGGTGGATGGAATAATAATAATAATAATAATAATAATAATAATAATAATAATAATAATAATAATAATAATAATAATAATAATAATAATAATAATAATAAGTGTTGAGGTGGCTCAGGAGATAGGGCAGGTCACCTATTAAGCTGAAGGCTGGGGGTTCACTCCTTGTCTTCTCCAGTGCCAAATATCCTTGAGCAACATACTAACTCCAAGTCTCTCTCTGATGTGAATTTGTATGAATGGTAGATAGAAAGCATAGAAACAAGGGAATGTGGCATGATTTATATAAAAAAGTGCTTTGTGTGCTCAGTTAGAATAGAACAGTGCTATATAGGAACCAGTTTATTTCTTATTTAATAATAATGCACCTAAACATTTTACAAGTCCTCATTTTTCACCAGCCATTTTATTAGATACACCCATTCAACTGCTTGTTAACATAAGTATCTCAGTCATGCAACTGAGCACATTTAAAGCATGTGGACATGTTCAGGATGACCTGCTGAAGTTCAAACTGAGCATCAGAATGTGGAAGAAAGGTGATCTAAGTGACTTTTAAACATGGGATGGTTGCTGGCAGCAGATGACCTACTCTAAGTATTTCAGAAACTCTGATTTTCCTGTTTTTTTTCCCACACATCCCTAGGGTTTACAGAGAATGGTGTGAAAAAGAGAACATTTCCAGTGAGTGGCAGCTGCGTGAGAATTTCCTGCTGATGTCAGAGGTTAGAGAGGAATAGCCAGACTGCTACAAGTTGACAGGAAGGCAACAGAAACTCAAGCACAGACATGTTAGAACCAAAGTATGCAGAAGAGCATTCTCTGAATGAACAGCATGTCCAGCCTTGAAGCAGATGGACTAAAGCAGCAGAAGTCTGGGTCTGCTGTCTGGGTCTTCTGTCAGCTATGAACAAGAAACTGAGGCTACACATCACAAAACAGAAGACTGGAAAAACATTGGTGATCTCGATTTCTGATGCAACAGCCAGACGAAGAATAGTATGAACATTCAGAATTTGGCATAAGCAACATGAAAACATGGACCCATCCTGCTTTGTATCACTGATTCAGACTGGTAGCGGTGTGATGGTGTGTGGGATGCACTCTACAGCCAATCTGCGTATTGTCGTTAACCATCTTTTGATGGCTACTTCCAACAGGTAGCACACCATGTCACAAAGCTCAACACATCTAAAACTGGTTTATTTAATATGACAGTCATATCCAACAGATCACCTTTAGGATAAGTAGGAACAGGAAATTAATCTCTTGGATGTGCAGCAAACAAATCTGCAGCAACTGAGTGGCGCTATCACATCTTTATGAATCAAAATCTCTGAGGAATGTTCCAGCAACCATAGGAAAGCTGCACCATCAAGAAATGGGGATTTTCTGGAGGTAAAAGGAGGTCCAGCCCAGTACTAGAAAGGTGAACAAACTGGTGGTACGTGTAGCTTGTACTCATGCTGAAAAGACTCTTGTAAATAAAGTATATCTATATACTGGTTCTTACATAGTAATTAGTCCATTATACAGCAAGACATGATTCAAATTTTACATACATAAATGCATAAAATGTTCATATTGCCCAGTAACAACTCTTAGCACAGTCAGGAGGAAGCAATTCAAAATCATCAAAGTTAAAATGTCCCTTCAGGGGTCTCTTTTGTACATCGCTTGTGGTTGTTGACTTGTCTTTTGCCCCAAAGTCTTAGTGGTCGAGACCAACATTCATGTTTACCCTTCGCTTTTGCTCCAGTTACATTATAATTTAACTTGTAAATCCTTACAGTTAAACACATTTTGTGGTTGTGTTGATGCTTGCACTGTGATATTATTTCTTCCTGTTCTGTGTTTACAGTAACGTATCACAGGTTGACTGTGTGAGGCAGTGCCAAGTTTTAAATGTGTAGCATTGGAGTAGCTGGTGTAGCAGGCACTTACATTTGTTCCAGTTGCCACCAAGTTGTGTGTGTTCACTTGACTAGAGGCAGGAAAAAATCAGTCACATAGTGGCTTCCCACATTCTTCTTAGTGAAGCTTGGTGACATATTGGAAGTCTTTTGTGTTAACTGTCTGTGGGTGTATCAAACAGCTCTGTGATTAATACTGAGATCTCAAACTAGGTTGCATGAATTTACCCGCATTTTTTTGTTACTTGCACATTATTCATTTTGCAGTATGCTTGCCATGAGAGTAGAGTATGTTGCCTATGGCCCATATTTATGTACAGCCAGTTTGTTTTTCTACAGTTTGCTCCTGTGTGTGATATCGACAACCGATTATGTTTCAGTGAACTAATCCAACTGATTTATGTGAAGCTATCTCTCATCCTACACTGAACTTCTCATCATGTGTAAGAGGCTGGAGCATATCCCAGCTAACCTCAGCATGAAGACAGACAGACACATTACACACACCTACAAGTGGTCTGTAGTCTCCACCTGGCCTGCACTTCTGGAAACAGAAGCAGCTGGAGGAAGCCCACACAGACAAAGGGTGACACGTGCTGCTCATCTTTTCACACAGAGTGGCTAACCATAAAGCTACCACGCAGCACTCCCTCATATTCCTTTTGTAGTACAATTTAAGCTAGAAGGCCACTGATCATACATGCATTCACTGTCGCAGGTAAAATGCAATACAAAGTCATATTTTGCCTTTATCAGCTGCTTCCTCTAGGGGTCGCCACAGAGGATGATCTGCCCTCTGGCATCTCACCCTTTCCCTAGCATCCTCTTCTGTCACACTAACCCTCTGCATGTCCTCCTTCACAGCATCCATGAACCTCCTCTTTTATCATCCTTTTTTTCACTTGCCTGGCAGCTCCATAACGTGTCCCGGGTATCCACTATCCCCCCTCTGCTCATGTCCAAACCATATAACTTTGTCTCATAATGACTGAGTCCCGCTGATTCCCATCAAATTCTGCCACCTGTCTTTTTATCAGTGCCACTATCTCCAAACCATACATCATAGCAGTTTGTAAACATTCCCTTTCTGCTATCCTCCTGTCACAAATCACCCCTGACACTCATCTCCACCCACTCCACTATCTTTTTTTACCTCTCTTCTGTGCTGTCTGGTGTTTTGAATGGTTGGCCCCAGGTATTTAAACCCCTCCACCTTCACTGCCTCTGCTCCCGCAGCTTCACTGTCACAGTGCTAGTGCTAAAAATCCTACTGGTCAACAAACGCCGCACCTCATGCACTATTCTGACCTCTGATCACCGATTCAGAGACGTACTGTGAAGCACCAAGTTGGTGATAGCACAAGGTATAAATAAGGAAGCACTGTAGAAGATCTCATCCCATCACAATTTAAAATCTGAAAGTTATGTTGTTTTGTATTCACAAATACAATCAAGAAGGTTTTGAACATCTATGATTGTTGGACATCATTGATCTCAAGATTTGTAAAATGATTGCGTGGTGCACACATTTCCAAATGAGCCAGCCTGGTCTAAACCCTTTAAATAAAAACCAATAGAGCACATAAAAGTTTTTTGAGGTATACTTCTAAACTTTTACTGAAACCAAATCAAAATAGTTGTGGTCTAACTTCCGGTATCATTCAGTTCACCATTATCTGGGTCCACAGATCATCTGTCTGTGCTTACACAGAAAAACTGTTTCCATATAAGGAAGAGAGCAACAGATGGCAGAAAGAACTAGTCAGATTTGGCTTGTGCCGCGTGGTTTGTGCTGTGCAGAAGGCTGAGCCGGGCAATGCGAAAAGGCGAGAAAGTGGGCGTGCCAGACATGTGCAACCTCCCAAAAACAAAGATGACACCCAGACTCCAGTCACATCCTCTTTCATTCACACATTCGTG